GCATCTCCCTTTGCTTTTAGTCATATCTACTTCTCTTTGGTGTGTTTGTTGCCACCACTGCCACCATTGCCCTTGTCTCTCTTCAGTGATTCTGGTCCACTAGTCAGTTACTGCCGCTGCTGCTAGAAGCACCATTAAACTGGCTACTGGAGCTGTTTTCGACCACCACTGTATGACCAATTTTGACATGAGTCATAATGTCTATATCCATCTTTCCTCACCATCTGTTGCTTGCACTACTGCTCCAGGCAAAATTCTGGATGCTTGTCCTTAGATCTACTCTGTCAAAATTTGTGTTGCTGATCTGGTTGATTGGCTTAAGGCTCATCTAGTTGGCAAATGGTACAGTCAAGTTTATGACCAAGATTACATAAATGCCTTCTCTCCTGTTGTCAAGATCACCTTTGTTTGTCTCTTCTTAGTTATAGCTGCTACCTGCTCTTGGCCCATTTTTTAGCTTGATATTAAGAATGCATATACTTGAATATTAAGATGGTTTTGGAAAAGTGTTTTTCACACTTTCTTCATTACTTGATTGAGTATATAAAAACATACAATATAGGCTGAAAAGGCTAAGAGCCTAGGACTGCTCATCAGACATACAAAAAAGAAGATAATATAAAATACAAAAGCTTCCCTAATAAGCTATTCTAACACTCCCCCTCAAGCTGAAGCATACAGATTGTATGCACCAAGCTTGGAACATAAGAACTGAATGCGAGGCCCCCTCAATGATTTAGTCATAACATCTGCAAGTTGTTCATTGGATGTGACAAATTTGGTAACAATTTCCTTAGATAGCAACTTCTCTCTAACAAAATGACAGTCAACTTCTATATGTTTAGTTCTCTCATGAAATACTGGATTGGAGGCAATGTGGAGTGCAGCTTGATTATCACAATACAACTTCATTGGATGACCTTCACAAAACTTTAACTCTTGAAGAAGTTGCTTAATCCACATAAGTTCACAAGTAATTAAGGCCATAGCACGATATTCAGCCTCAGCACTGGATCGAGCAACAACATTTTGCTTCTTACTCTTCCAAGATATGAGATTTCCACCTAGGAACACACAGTAGCCAGTAGTAGAGCGTCGGTCTATAGGACAACCAGCCCAATCAGCATCACAATAGCCAGAAATTTGGCTGTCTCCTTTGTCCTCATACAATAATCCTTGTCCTGGTGCCTTTTTGATATATCTAAGGATACGTAAAACAGCATTCCAATGATCAATATGAGGGGCCTGCATGAATTGACTAACAATCCCTACTGCAAAAGAAAGATCAGGTCTTGTGATTGTGAGATAAATAAGCTTCCCAACCAATCTTCTATATCTCTCTGGGTCTGTGAACGGTTCACCTTGATCAGCCATCAACTTTTGGTTAGGATCCATAGGACTATCAATGGGCTTGCAATCCAACATGCCAGTTTCCTTCAAGATATCAATAGCATATTTTCTTTGTGAAATCACAATGCCTTCCTTTGATTGAGCAACCTCAATACCCAAAAAATATCTCAGATGCCCAAGGTCTTTGGTCTGGAACTGACTAAACAAATGTTTCTTCAATTGAGAGATTGTAGTTGCATCATTCCCTGTAATCACTATGTCATCAACATAAACAATCAAATAAACACATCTCCCAGGTGAAGTGTGACAATAGAACACTGAATGATCTGCTTCACTCCTTTTCAACCCAAAATTCTGCACCACATGACTAAATTTTCCGAACCAAGCCCGAGGAGATTGTTTGAGACCATAAAGGGATCTTCGCAATCTGCAAACTAAACCAGACTCCCCCTGAGCAACAAACCCAGGAGGTTGCTCCATGTAAATTTCCTCCTCCAACTCCCCATGAAGAAACGCATTTTTAATATCTAATTGGTGGAGAGGCCAATGCCGAATAGCTGCCATAGCAAGGAAGAGACGAACTGTAGGGATTTTGGCCACAGGAGAAAAGGTATCACCATAATCTAGGCCATAAATTTGAGTATATCCCTTGGCCACCAATCGGGCTTTGAGTCGATCAACTGTACCATCAGGCCCAACTTTAATGGCATAGACCCATCTACAACCAACTGGTTGTTTACCAGGAGGAAGTGGAACTAACTCCCAGGTGCCACTATGTTCAAGAGCTTGCATTTCAGCAATCATAGCTTGTCGCCATCCAGGATGATCAAGTGCCTCATGGACATTTTTAGGAATGGTTAAAGGAGATATAGAGGAGATAAAAGAACAATATAAAGGAGATAATCGATGATAACTCAAAAAATTGTATATAGGATGAGGGTTCCGAGTCGAACGAATACCTTTGCGAAGGGCAATTGGCCAGCTTGAACTATCATCATTCGGACCCGTAGTAGGGGAACTTGATGGTGAAGGAGATGAAATTGGTGGTTCTTCAGGAATTGTCAAATCAATTTGTCGAGTTCGACGCTGATAGGTGAGAAGAGGAGATGAAGTAACGGGAATGGGTCTATTTGTGGACAAGGTGGGTTGAGTGACCTCTTGATTAGGGGCTAAAGGTTGAAGTGGTATGGATAGATGGGAAGATACAGGTAGAACCTGTTGGATTGACACAGAATCATTTGTAGAGGATAGGAAGAAAGGAGTGTGTTCAAAAAAGGTAACATCAGCAGACATGTAAAATTTTTTGGTCTTTGGAGAATAACACTTGTACCCTTTCTGGAGACGAGAATAGCCTAGGAAAACACATTTGATAGCCCTAGCCGATAGCTTATCCAAACCAGGAGAGACATCATGGACAAAGCATGTACACCCAAAGACTCGAGGTGAGACATGAAACAAGGGTTCCTTTGGAAAGATAATCGAGTAAGGAATTTTATTCTCAAGAGAAGACGATGGCATTCTGTTTATTAAAAAACAGGCTGTAAGAATTGCATCACCCCAATGATGTACAGGAACATTTGCATTGAGCATCAGGGTGCGTGCAGTCTCTACAAGGTGTCTATTTTTCCTTTCTGCTATTCCATTTTGTTGGGGTGTGTGTGGACATGTAGACTGATGTAAAACACCTTGTGAAGATAAAAAGGAAGACAATTCAAGGGAGAAATATTCTTTGGCATTATCACTTCTAAAAATTTTGATTGTTTTTCCAAATTGGTTCTGAATTTCATTAAAGAAGGAAACAAATATAGACAAAAGTTCAGAACGATCTTTCATTAAGTATACCCAAGTACAACGAGAAAATTCATCAATAAAGGTTACAAAATATCTGAAACCAAAAGATGTTACACGGCTTGGACCCCATATGTCAGAGTGAATGGTGGTAAAAACTGAGTTACACCTTTTTTCAGTTTGTTTGGGAAAGGATGATCTAACATGTTTGCCTAGTTGACATGACTCACAACCTAACTCTTCCAATGTTTTGAGACTAGGAACTAAGAGTTTCAACTTGGACAAACTTGGATGACCCAAACGATCATGCAAAAGCTTGGGTGGCAAAACAGCAACACAAGATACTGATGGTTGCATTCCAAAATAGTAAAGACCACCAAATTCATGTCCTACGCCAATCATCTTGCCCGTACCACGTTCCTGAATGACACAAGATTCAGCATTAAAAGTTACTGAACAGTTTAAGGATTTAGTTAATTGACTTAAAGAGATCAAATTGAAAGGACATTTAGGGACAAATAAAACAGATTTTAAATTTAACATGGGAGAAAGTGAAACTTGACCAATTCCTTTGGGGGCAATTTTGGATCCATCTGCTAAGGTGATAAGATGGGGTGATTTAAGAGAGGACATGGACAAGAATAGAGAATCATTACCAGCTATGTGATCAGAGGCACCTGAATCAATGATCCATGGACTTTGACTTGCAGTTAATTGAGAAATACAGGCTGTAGAAATAGTAGGAGTAGAGGAAGATTGAGCTTGACTCATAGCTTTCCATTGAAGATATTCTTGGTAATCATTTTCAGGAATCTTCCTATCAACCTTTTCTGATTGATCAGACTTGGACAGATTTGCTATCTTTTCTGGAAAACCATTGAGAGAGTAACAATTCTCTTGAGTGTGACCCATCCTTTTGCAGTAGGAACATTGAGGACGGCCACTTCTACCCCCTCTTCCTCGGTTTCCACGACCACCCCTTCCCTTGGAAGAGACCATAGCAGAAGCTTCAACAATGGCGGTAGAATTTTCACTCTTGGATTCAGTTGGAACTCGAAGTAGTCTAGTAACTAAGTTGTCCATTGAGGGGATTTCATGACCGGTCAGGAGTTGATCACGAACATGATTAAAGTCTGAATGCAATGTTCTTAAAATCATCACCATATATAGCCTATCAAGTTTCTTCTTCATTCCTTCCAATGACTCATCATCAAGAAATAATTTTAGTTCTTCCACGGCAGCTTGAGCTTCAGCCACATGAGAAACCATATCATGACTAGTTTGTCTCAAAGAGGCTAGTTTTTGTGCAGCATCATACAGCCTTTGAATGTCATTAGCATAGATACTTTGAGCCTTCTTCCAAAAAGAGCAACAAGTTTTAAAGGCTCTAAGTGTTCCAAGTATATTGGGTTCCACAGATTGCCACAAAACAGCACATAACTGAAAATCAACTTTCTTCCACTGAGCTTTATTCTCTATTGACCCCTCAATGTCTTCCTTTTCTAGGTGGTCATGGTGTCCTTGACCAAGGAACCAAAGTTCCACAGATGCAGCCCATGAAAGATAGTTCTTCCCATTTAACTTTTCTGCAGTAATGGTAGGTGTACCAGCAATAGCAAGAGCAGGACCTGAAGAAGCCATGGGAGAAGAAGAAAATCGGAAATAAGTCCGAATAGAAGGAGATGAACAGTGACCACGACCCAAACGACCAACTGGAACAATAAACTGAGGTCTGAAACGAACCCAGACAGCTCAGGCGAACACAACGGTGGCGGCGTGGCGGACTTCCGGTGACCAGAAGGCGGCGCGTGAGACACACGCGCTTGACGGACAGACACTTGGAGCGGCGCGTGGATACTTGGATGCGCTCAAAACCAGCAGGGTTGGGTCGCGCTCAACGAGGCGCACCAAACCCTACGTTCGTCGAAGAATTTGGTCGCCGGCCGGCGGCGGTGTACGGTGGCCAGAAGCGGTGGACGACGGCGAGCGACAGAGCGGGATCGGACCCGCTCTGATACCAACTTGAATATTAAGATGGTTTTGGAAAAGTGTTTTTCACACTTTCTTCATTACTTGATTGAGTATATAAAAACATACAATATAGGCTGAAAAGGCTAAGAGCCTAGGACTGCTCATCAGACATACAAAAAAGAAGATAATATAAAATACAAAAGCTTCCCTAATAAGCTATTCTAACACATATCTTCTTGGTGAACTTCAAGAGGAGGTTTATATTGGGATACTGTCTGATTTTGTTGCTCAGGTTAGTCTACTCAGGTTTGTAAACTTCATGGTTCTTTTTGTGGCTTGAAACAATATCCTGGTGCTTGGTTTGATAGGTTCAGCATAGTTGTTCAGGAATTTGGCATGTCCAGTTGTGATTCTAATCCTATATTTTCATAACAAGAGACAATCAGGATGACCTTGAAAAGTTAAAGAAACATTTATTCCATCACTTTCAGACAAGAACTTGGCTCACTCATGTATTTGCTTGGTATTGAAGTGGTTGAATCTAATTGTGGTGTCGTTGTTTAGGGAAGTATGTGTTGGTTATTCTTGATGAAACTGGCATGTCAGACTGCAAACTAGTTGGCTCGTATGGATCCTAATATTACACTTCTTCCTAGTTAGGGAGAGCCATTTACGGATCCAGGAAGGTATTGGAGACTAGTTTGTAAGCTTTATTTTTTGTCTAGGCTCTCCATTCTTCTCTGTGAGTACTTCCTTCTAACCCATTTTTTGTTTTGATTCATGGGTTTCTCTTCTTGTTTGTGCAATTTGCCTCTATTGCCCAGTTCTTCTTGCTACATAAGAACATAGAACTTATGCCTCTGTTTTGTATACAGGCCATACAAACTTATGACTCTGTTTTGCCCAGTTACTCAGTTGTGCTTCTATTGTCTTGTGTCTTAACAATGAAGTTTAATGGTCTAATCATGATAGAAAAAGTTTAGGGGGATTGTGTCATATCCCATAATTGGTGTTCTACCCACCAGCAAGTTTATAATTTTTTTATATCTTATTTATATTATTATTTTAAAATAAAAAATATATTTTTTATTTGGAGTATGAAAACATGTTTGCAATTAGTTGTAGGATTGCATAACCCAAATGTTTTTGATTTATTAACCACCACCATGTGAGTTTTGCATGTTCACCGGTTTCTATTGGGATGTGGTGTTTTTGGTTTTTATAATGTTTTTATTATACGTTTTGTTTTATCATCTTTTTGTTTTGTTTTTTCCCAAATTATTAATATTTCTTCTTTTGTATTGCACGTTTAATTGCTTTGAATTTAATCTGACAAATGTAATTCTTTTAGCAGGCACAACATCATTATGCTATAGGTTTGAAGATATTGAATCAACTAGTTTCTGAGATAAATCAGGTCAGAATCAATGTCTTATGTTTCAACAGAGAATTAATAGCTTGGTATAAAAATCAGTGCACTCGCAATAGCTGTGTTCCACTTCCAGCCCTGAGAGCCTTTGTTTCACACTAACTAGCACTGTACTTTTATTCTGTTATGCTTTTTATTGTTGTTGACTAGGGATGACAATGAGCAGGGTTCTATAGTACTTGTCCTTGAATCCACGTTGGTGGCAATTTTGATCACCATTCCCATATCTACTGGGTACCTAGATACTCATACCCGCATCACCACACCTGACTCGCACTTAACTCATATATAAGGTTAATAATAATAAATAAACAAATTAATTAAAATTACTACAATTATATTAAAAATTCCTTCTTAAATAATTCAAACATAATCTTAAAAGCAAACACGTAATATTAAAAACAATTAAATATAACATTGATTTGCTCAAACACAAGTCATAGACTCGTAAATAAACATTACAAAGACAATAATTCAACATAGCAATTGTTAAAATTAATGTTCTAATTTTTAACAATCTATTGTCAAACTTGGACGTCATGCAGTGACAATACTCTCCAACACCGTCAAAAAAGAATACATGTTGAAATTGATTAGCCTATAACTATATATTATAAATTAAAAAAAAACACAAATACATAAGATATTTAACCTCATCATCAAAATCATCATCTCAATATTTTTAGTAAACGGTTATCTTCAAAATCTATATATTCCTTTGGTCCACTAATACCAATAGAAACTAGAACACGACAAGACCAAAAATTAGATAATCTAAAACAATAATTGAGATGGGTATATATATATATATATATATATTTAAGTAATATATATTAATTATTTAATTGTATAATTATATTAATATATGACATGTAGTACCTGGACCCATACCCGTCCCGTACCTAGACCCAAGATTACTGGTGAATATCCGCCCTGTTTGCGGATATTTTTGTAGGTAGTACCTGTAGGGCACTTTGCCATCTCTATTGTTGATCCGTTATTGTTAATTTTGCTATATGTTAGTGTTGGTCATGTCTTTAATGTATGACTTTGGGTATTAGTGATGAATATGTTTGTAGTTTCCACATTTGAGTAGCTATTGATATTTGAGTATCTATTATGTGTGTATTAGGAATTATTTTTTTTGCATTTTATCTGCTATGTTTGGTTTAGCTGCCTCTTTTTGATTTGCTATCTGGTAGACTCACCGACATGAGGTATTAAAACCATATGAATTGTCCATATTAGTTTCATATTACATTATTACTCTTTATGGGGTTAGTACAGATCAATTTCTGAAGTTGGCCTTCATTCTGATCCCCATCCACCACCAGTTTTTTGGAATCCCTAGAGCTAATGCATGTAGAGCAAACATGATGCACACGAGAATAATCATTCATAGTTAATCAGATATTTATTTGTATTACAAAATATTGTATAAATTCCAGACTTTGTGTATATATTATGTTCTTATGTAAGACATTGGAATTGTATTATTTATTTTTCTGTCAAAGAATTAGGAGCAAAAAGATGCTTGAATACCATTAGGTTATCATTTTTAGGTCTGAAACAGTTGTTTAGGGGTCTAAAGTTTCAGGAAATCTAGATTGCTTCAAAATGTTTAGGTTTGAGTTCTACCAATGAGCAATTTTTTGGTGAAGTTAAGCTAGTAAAGGAGAATGAATTTTGTTCTTTGGCATTGTTTATTCTTTTTATTTTGTTAGCGCATTTCCTTGGACACCTATGCTTTTCAAACACTTTGGGGCCATTGTCCATCTACTGATGAAAAGATAGGGTGCATAATTAAATGTTACTTTGGTAATGAACTACATATTATATGTATTTAGAACATCTTTATGGATATATTGCTGATTTTGCTGTTGTTACTTATTTATTTATTTATTTATTTTTATATATATTCTTTTGTATTTTCAGCACAATCCTGGATTACCTGCCACACGTCAACGTAGGATAGCAAGCTCTTTTAGGGATCACTCACTTTTTCAGATATTCCAGATATCATTAACTTCTCTCTTCCAGTTAAAAGCTGATGGTATAACATTTTTGTTATGACAATGATAGATGTATACATTCATTTTCAAAGTTATGAACTGATGTCATGTTTTGAATTTAGTAATTGTGCTTTGTTTTATGTAAAATTCAGTTGGGAGCAAGTTGCAGGAACTGTCTCTTATGCTTTCTCTTAGTTGTTTGTCTTTCGATTTTATGGGGACATCATATGACGAAAGTTCAGATGAGATTGGTACTGTTCAGGTATATTCCTTCATACATAGATGGTTGTTGTTTGTTTTTTCTAGTTTCTTAATCTGGATTGGCATTGGTTCTACAGGTTCCATCTGCTTGGAAGCCTACCCTTGAGGATTCCTCAACAATGCAAATATTTTTTGATTATTATGCAATGAATCAAACGTTTTCAAAAGAGGTTTGTTTATGTTATTTTATTCAATTTAATGAGGGAAACAATGCTTTAAGATGAATTATTTTGTTTCAGTGCTTCATTTTGTATGAATTTTTAAAGGAATTAATCATTATCCTCACTGTTATTAATTTGGGCTTTTGTTTTCCTTCGTTTCATGCATAGACAGAATATTGTTTGATATCTTATTTTATGGCATATGGTTGCTGGATATAATGTACTTTGTTTGAATTCATGATATGAAAATTAGAGGAAAATCTGAGAGAATAGTGTTTCTGTATTTCTTATTATGATTCAGAGTGGTGGAGGATACAGTATTTATATTGTTACAGGAAAGTTGCAATCAATTGAAAATAGCAACTGATGTGATGTGACCCACTGATACCTAACTAACTGGTAACTGAAACCAGATGGCTGACAACCTTCTGAACCATATGATATGAGGCTTGGTCCATGCTCAGGCCCACCACTACGATGCGTGTGCCCAATAGTACATCTATACAGCTAGGATTCTACATTTACAGTATATCTCCAATATAATTGAATGGGGTGTTTGGGAACAATGTTCTTAGCAAGGTTGTCAAAAATCGGTTATAACGGGGTTATAACGGAAAAACGGAACGGTTTGAGCTGAAACCGCCATTTGCCATCCGTTATATGAAGCTTTATGGCGGTTTCCGCCATTTCCGATATGGCGGCCGCCATGGTCATGGCGCCGTGAAGGTTTATAACGGGCATGGCGGTCATGACGGTTTTTTTAAAAAAAAAACCTATTTTTGGGCTTTGAAACAGGCCCAAATGGAGTGAGTCCTAGGTTAGTGCTTGTCTCCGTGTCTCATCTCTCTTCTCGCTCACAGTCGCGACTCTTTGCACCTCAAGAGGAGCTCATGCCCTAAGCTTCTCCAGTGACCTTCGTTCCCTGAAACGCGGCACTTACGGCCCTTATGTAGTACTCCGGCCACCTGAAACGCGGCGACTGCGGCAGCCCAACACTCCGACCAGCAACCATGAAGTGCAAACAGCTCTTACGGAAGGCGAAACTGCCCCTAATCTCCTCCGTTCACCACCCCTTCGTCCCCTTTTTGGCCGGCGACCTGAACCGTGGTGGCCCAGTACTCCGGCGAGATATTCCGACGAGCAACTCCGGCGAAACTAGGTTTTTTTTCTCTCAGTTTTAATCCTACTTTTTTTCTTTCCAGTTTTAATGTTCCTACTTTTATTTTTTCAGTTTTAATCCTCCTCCTCTTTTTATTTTTTTAGTTTAAAACCTTTTTTTTTTCAGTTTTAAATTTTAATCCTCTTTTTAATTTTTCCTACTTAATGAATTCATTGTTGCATCTGCAGCAACAATTTTTTAATCCTAATTCTTCTACCAATTGGGTCAATTTAAATTTCTATTTTATTCTAAATTCTAAATTGAGTCTCTTGTTTTTCTATGTTTTTTGTTGTGTTTTAATCAATTATGTTATGAGACAATGAATTATGGTATTGTTGTTATGATATTTAAGTATTTAAGTTGATATTATGTTGGTTTTAATTTAGTTTTGTTGCTTGTTATTTATTGTTTTGCTGTTTTTTTTGTATATAATATATATATAAATATTATTATTATTTTTTTTTTGTTCGCCATGATGTCCGCCATAGGCCGCCATGGCATCCGCCATAAAGTTATAAAGGATTTCTGGCCTTACCGCCATAGACCGTTATCCGCCATCGATAACCTTGGTTCTTAGAGGAATGGGAATGCCATTCTGGGTCATGATGTAAGCTGCACGAGTATTTTTTTGTCATTGATCTTTGTTAGAGTAAGCTGAAAATGTAATTCATTGATTGAACTTGATACAAAAATGTGATGAGTCTCTGGTTACAATCCTATATATATAATAGAGATTCAAGGAGGAGAGATTGTAACTGTCTATTAGAGATGGTTACATGTAACATACTTATTAACCAAGCATACAAACTAACTAAATATGGTTACAAAATAATACTTAGTGGAGAAGTTTAACACTCACACCCCCCCTGCAAACTTAAGGTGGGTGAAAGACATGAGGAAGATCAGCCACATTGAGTAGGTGATAGTGGCTTCGTAAGAAGATCAGCCCACTGGCATTTGATCATCCACGCACTGCCACGTGCGTGATTTTTGAAGCAGTGTTTTTCGGGTCATGCACCACCTTCTATGCTCCGATGATTTCGCCACTGATGCCGTTCAACTTGCCCAGCTGTCACCTTTCTATTGTGCCCTAGTTTGGTCAATGGATGTCACCCAAACAGTGCCTTTTCTTCTCTTTTGTGCGCATTATACTGTTTTTGGTGTGGTGCATTGTACTGTTTTGTGATTTAGTTGTTGTCTCTTCGATTTTACAACACATTCTGCATCCCAAGGTGCTTCTAATAAGGGTCTTGTATCTTTTTGCTTTTTTGGCAGTCCTATCAAACTTTGGAGAAGCTTAATGGAAAAAATTATTTGAATTGGTCTGTTGCGATGAAGATTTGGTTTCTTGGCCAGAGACTTTGATCATCTCACCAAGGTATCTTTTGAGATCGATGAAAAGTTACCTGATGATTGGGAGCATGTTGACTACCAACTAGTCTCTGTTCTATGGTAGTCTGTTGAACCATCATTATTGGTTTATTATTGTTCCTATACTTCATGCCGTGAAATTTGGAAGAAGGCCCAAAGTGTTACTCTAATGATGTTCAATGGTTGTATGATGTTATTCACAACTTAAACACTCTCCAGATGATGGAGGATGACATCATGTCCTGTGCCAATGAGGCTCAATCAGTGGTGAATGAATTTAAACTCTTGATACATGATAATGATTCCAAGAAGATGATTGAGAAACTTGATACTGCGTGTGTGATCTTTGTTCTCCATGGCCTTCATAAGAAGTATGACAATGTTCAGAGTCAAATTCTTGCGCCCTTGATATTCCTTCAACATAGACTCTCATTAGTTGACTTATACGTCTTCCTAGTTTAGGTGGAACCAGGGAAGGTGGTGGATCCCATTCAAGATTGGAATCTTCTGCTCTTGTTTCTAATTTTTCCACTAACAGAGGTGAAGGTTGTGACCATGGTCGTGGTTGTGGAAATGGTAAAACAGGTCGTGGTGGAGGATGCCCTCAATGCACTTATTGCAAGTGCCTTGGGCATACCCGAGAGAGCTATTATTCACTGGTTGGTTTTTCGGCAAATGTGACTCAATCATCTAATGATGGACTCCAAAACATGAGCAGCCTAAAACTGCAAAAGTAAATATGTTGTCTGATGATGAGTATAAGGAGTTCCAACCATGGTTGTCAATCTCGAGTTACAACTCGTAATATTGTCCGAGATTACGAGTTTATTGAAGCAAAACGAGACAACTCGGAGGTAAACTCGTTTTTGAGTAAACTCGAGTAAACTCGGGTAAAATCGAGTAATCTCGCATGAAATCGCGAGTTTACAATGAGATCCGCGAGTTTACCAAACCCCGAAACCCTAAGGGTAAAAACCCTTGTCGTTCATTCTTTTTTTCTCACTTTGCACGTTGTTTGCTTCTCCTCCGCACCTCTTTCTCCTTCACATTGCTGCTCCTTCGAGCGCCGTTTGGATCCGTGCTGTGCTGCTGCTCCTCTGTGCGTCATTTTGATCTGTGCGGATTCGTGCCGTGCTGCTGCTCCTCCGTCCGTCGTTCTGATCCGTGCCACGCGCCTCCTCTATGATCGTTCTGATCCGCGCTGCTTGTGCCGCTTCTCCTCTGCACATTGTTCCACCTCTGCGCGTCGTTCTCCGAGAGTCGCAGTCACTCGCTGTCAATGCTCGCAGCCGCACTCGTCATTCTCCATGCGGACGTTAAGTCGAGTAGCGTCGTGCTCTTCCGCGAGTTGCATTACCGTGTTCTTTCTCCTTTTTTATTCTGTCTAATATATTTTTATTCTCTATTTAATATATTAGTTTTTTCTTAATTTTTTATTTGCTGTCATTTTATTTTTTATTTACTGCAATTTACTATTTTTGCTTTAATATGAAGTTAAATGATAATTATTATGTTATTTTTAGGTATTTTTAATATTTTTTATATTAAGTAAAACTCTTACGAGTTTATGATACGAGTTTACGGAGCTTCCACGAGATTACGTAAACTCTCGATATTGACAACCTTGGTTCCAACAATACAAGGCATCACAATCCTCGTCCTCAGCCATAGTTGTTCATATTGATAATTCTATAGCCTGTCTTTCTTAATAATCGTCTGTTGGTCCTTGGATTTTGGACTCATATGCTTCTAATCACATAGCTGGTATTTCATCTCTATTCTCCAAAATATCCCAACCTCAAAATCCTCATTATATCACCATTGCAGATGGATCCAAAGTTAAAACTAGTGGTGTAGGTCAAGTCACTCCTCTTTTGACTCTATTGCTTGATTCTATTCTTCTTGTTCTAAATTGTCCTTTTAATTTAATATCAATTAGTCGTCTAATCCGTCACTTAAATTGTTCAATAGCCTTTCTTTTGGATTCTTTTCTTATATAGGACCGGAATACGGGGCAAATGATTGACATGGGATAACGAGATATGAGTCACGAGGACTTTACTACCTTCAATCTTCTTCCTCAGTTGCTTGCGATGTCATAGATTCTCCAAGTCTTCTTCACCATTGTTTAGGACATCCGAGTCTGTAAAAGTTCAAGATAATCGTTCCCCACATGTCCCATTTATAAATATTAGTGTGTGAATTTTGTCAACTTGGAAAACATGTTTGCACCTCTTATATCCAAGTAGTGTTCAGTCACAAGCTTACACACCTTTTCATATTATTCATTCTAATGTATGGGGTCCAAGTTGTGTCAGTTCTATTTTAGGTCATAGGTATTTTGTCACTTTCATTGATGATTTTTCTAGGTGTAGATGGGTCTTCTTACTTATGGAAAGGTTAGACTTATTTGATATGTTTCAAACTTTCTTTAAAGAAGTTCAAAATCAGTTTGGTGCATGTACCTATATTTTGCATAGTGATAATGCAAAAGAATATTTCTCAGCCTCTTTTAAATCTTTTTCGGCTCATAATGGGGTAATTCATTAGTCATCTTGTCCTCACACCCCTCAACAAAATAGTATTGTTGAACGAAGACATCGTCATATTATCGAAATTGCTCGTACATTACTCATTGGTGCTAATGCCCCTTTAAAGTTTTGGTGTGATGCTGTCCTTACTGCAAGTTTCTTAATCAATCGTATGCCATCTTCTACCATTCAAAACAGGGTACCTCGCTCTATTTTGTTTCCTGATGAACCATTGTTTCGTATCCCTTCTCGAGTGTTTGGTTCTACTTGTTTTGTTCATGATCTTCTCTGGGCTTGACTAATTGTTTGCTCGTGTAATAAAGTGTGTTTTCCTTTTGTATTCACGGTTTCAAAAGGGATATTGGTGTTATTGTCCTTCTACACATTGTTTTTATATGACCGCAGATGTTACATTCCTCGAGGACACACCTTTCTTTTTGTCAACTATTGAGCCAAAGTACATTATACATGTATTTCTTCTCCCTGACCTTTCCTAGGTTGCCTCGTCTCAACTTGATATAAAAATTTACAGAGTACATAGGCTATTTATATGACTAACTGCCTACCAGAAGCATTGACAGCCTATAACAACCTGATAGATTAGAGGGATTAGTTACACAAAACAGAAAAATATAACTGGAAGATAAAGGAGTAAGGTTATACACCAATATAAATGTTAAGTATGTGCATTATATAATGTATTTGGTAGAGGAAAATAAAATAAAATAATATTTTTCCCAATCTTTTTAGCCAGTATCTCCCTGCACCCTCTACCCTCCCTGTTTTTTAATATATGTTGCGTGAGACTTATTCTACAGTTGATTTGACTTCTCCCATTTATATTATTTATGTTTTTGACTGCAATAAACTTGTCTTTCACAAGAAGTTTCTATTTTGTAGTAAAATGTATTTTTACTATTCATGCCTTTTGCTTTATTCCCCCCACCTAAGTAATGTACTGTATCACTGTATCAACCCTTAGCTTCATTATAGAGATCTTTGTTCAACTTTCTTGTTGAAAGAGTTGATTTCAACTTCCCAAAATTTTAAAATGACCCACTTGTATGTGGAGTGGTGTACATATTATATTGGAGTTGGTTGCTGTTAGAGTATAGAATAGCTTAGGCAACTATCAGTAACGGCTGCCATTGCTAGCTATATTTAGTTATGTACCTGCATTCTGTTAGTTAGTTTTGTAATTCTCTATAAATAGAGAACTGGTTAAAACTCATGTAATTCAATTTCAATAATGTTTTTCAATTTCCTATTCTCTGTGTGTGTGTGTGTGTCTCTCTCTCTCTCATGTTTCTCAACATGGTTTCAAGATCTTCAATAAAGCCCTAATTCATGGCTTGCAATTCTTCAGTGATTGCGACACGGAAATTTTGATTTATTTTGTCTATTCCCCGATTTCCATTTGGTGATGTATATAGTTGTCTTCTCTATATTATGGTGTTTTCTCATTATTTATTGTTATTAATTGTAGGCATTGGAGTGCTTGTTGCGGCTTGCTTCTACTAGACGATCATTGTTTTCCAATGATACTGCTCGAATGAAGTTTCTGTCACACTTAATGCAGGGCACGAAAGAAACTTTGCAAACTGGAATAGGTGAATTGGATTATAGTTATTTGAAACCAGCTTAGTGTGTATTTCTCAGTTAATATTATAGTTTAATGAATTGGTGTTGGTCTTTTCTAGTAGGGTATTGAAAGAAATTTGATGCCGTCCTTAAACTTAGTTAACACTATAGAGGCAGTTTTGTCCTACTAGATGTATTTCTTTGCATCCTTTTGTTGAAGTAGTTCCTGGTTTGAAGATTAATTAAAATCTGTGGGTGTGGGTATAAATATGGATATCTTTTCTATAGTACTTGGTTCCTCCCATTTGGCACTGGCTGGTGTTCTAATTTTGCAGTGGTTGCTCAATCCCTTGAGATATCTGTTAGGGTAGCCCAATTAAAAATGCAACATGCTAATCTTGTTCCAAATCTAGTGTTGTATCATATAAACCTTAAAAATGTCAGAGATACACCTGAAATAAATGTAGCGAAAGAGCTTAGGTTGCATATTGCCACATAAATTTTCTACTCAACTTCTATAACTAGAAAGTTAATCAAGAAAAGTTGGTCTAGGGGCCTAGGATATACATAACTTGCACTTAAGATGCTGAATAATGAATTCCAATTAAAAATGCAACATGCTAATCTTATCCCAAATCTAGTGTTGTATCATATGAACCTTAAAAATGTCAGAGATACACCCGAAATAATTGTAGCAAAAGAGCATAGGTTGTATATTGCCACAAAAATTTTCTACCAAACTTCTATAACTTGAAAGTTAATCAAGAAAAAGTTGGTCTAGAGGCCTAGGATAAACCTAACTTGCACTGAAGATGCTGAATAAGGAATTTCATAAAGAAAAATCTGCAGATCAGAGAGAAAACAAATAAGGAATTGATTCTGAATAAGCACTATACGTTATGCACATATCATAGGAAGGTGCCACATGTAGCCCACAGACTTGCTACATACCATATTAACATCAATATTAAGTTATTAAATATTAATTCACTGAAGCACCACTGTCCAAATAAATGTCTAGTTACTAAATTTTGTACTCCTTGCCTATCTATTGATTTGGGCTACTGCTAAATTTTACATTCATTTATATAAACATTAGAGCCAAATGGTGGCATGTGATCCATATAGCCAACCTCACCTAGTGAGATCAGGCTTCTATTGTTGTATATAAATATTATTTAGAAGGTTGTTGATGCTATAATTTCAATTTAAAACAGGTCTTGCCGATCATGATAACTATCATGCCTTTTGTCGTCTTCTTGGCCGTTTTAAAGCAAATTATCAGGTGAGTTGTATGCTCTTTCTGTATTTTGCATGATCCATACACATGGTTCGTTCAAGTGTAGATGTGATTTTCCCCCTATGATCACCAACTCACAATCTGCAGTTGGTAAGGCTTATGAAAGTGGATTATCAGTTTTCTTTCCAGCAATTCTTGTTGAGTGTGCACATGTGTTTTCTATAATACCTATAACAAGAACAAAAGCCTTATCCCATTAGGTGAATTCAGCTTCATGGATTGCACGATGCCATTTGACTAGGTTAAAGACTATGGGCATGTTTGCATCACCATTCATTTTTATTGAACGTAAAAGTTTGTGAGATTGCTTTTACATTCAACGGAACATTGGAATTCAGGAATTAGGTACACAAACACACTATAAATCTTCAAAGAGATATTATTTACCATGAGATTCCACTAATAACTTCCTTCATTGGCCTTCTTGGTCTCCCTCCCCCCTTTTTTCAAAAGATTAAAGAACTATGCATTCTACTGTCCTCACTTGTGCTTCTAATGGTTTTCTTTGTATATGTCCTAACCACAATAACCAATTTTCTGTTCTGTTGTCATCAATCATTACAACACCATTATCTTGCATAAAATGTTTTCTGTATCCTATCCTTTCTTGTGTGGTTGCATATCCATATTAACATTATCCTTGTCACTCTCCCACCTTTTACTCTTATCCCTTTAAAGTCCAATATTCACCTACCATAGAGTGTAGTCAGCGTATAAGACTGATAAAATTTCCCATTGCACTTGGTAAGTACTTTGCGATCACGAATAACCCTATATGCCTTTCTGCATTTTAGCCATCCGTCCTGTATCTTGAATGACGTCCTGATTTATTTCGTTATCATTTTGTAATGTTGATCCATTTCAATCTCAAATTTGAAAATTTTAGCATGTGTATTCTGCTAAATATTTTTCAAAATTATGGGGTAGGACAGGGGACTCAGTTTCAGTATGCTACATACTTATTTCGGGGATAGATAGTTTTTTAAGGTTAAACTATTCACTTGGTCCCTGCATGAGAAAACTGTAAGTTTTAGTCCTTACTTGCATAAGAGTTAAGTTTCAATCCTATTGGTAATATCAAAGAAAACATTTTGACGGTGTAAAGCTGCTACAAAATCTTTTTGGCAGTGAAGCAGTTAGGCACCCTGAGGGACAAGCCCCATTTTTAAGAAGGATGCAACACCAATTATTAAAAATGTATTTTAGAAGAAAGCGTAGGGACTTGGGTACTGATGGTGGGTTTCAATATCTTTAAATAGGGCTATATGCTGTTCAGAGTGGTATTTGGAATTATCATTGTAATATCTGGAAAACAAGTAAAGATGACTTGGCAGAGGAATAAAACACTGAATTCTGTTCATTTGGTTTTCGTGATCTTTTCTTGTTTTGTTTCATTCTTTTTTTTTTGTCAAGAATTTATCAATTTTGGTCTGACCTGCCGGATTCCTGAGAAGCCACCAGTGGACTTGGAGTCAAGAATCGGAGCGTATTAAAAATGGGCCTTGGCCTTCTGGGTCCCTAACAGAAACTGCCTCAAAAAACTATGTAGATACTGAAATTTATAGTTTTCTTGTATAGGGACTAAAACTTAAAATGGGGGCACCTATAGGGACCTAGTGAATGGTTTAACATTTTCTAATCCTCAATGCTATGATAAGGTAGACCTCAATGCTCAGATTCATCTCTGCTAGTTTTTCCTATTTGGTTTCCATCTGGAGAAGCTCAAGCCTCAAAGGATAAATGAAGGATTTTCATTGGTCTAGTAAAATCTGTTTGAGAGGAGAGAATGTTGTTAGTTTGTGTTCTGAACTCAAGTGCACTGGAACAGTTTGATTGCACGTTGGAGGCCATAAAATGAAAGGAAAAGTTGGTGCGTAAAAATGTTACTTTAGTTCACTGACACAGTTGACAAATAACCTTGTCCATTAAGCATGTAAGGGGTTCAATCCCTTGGTCAGTATGTATGGAAAAATATTTGTGGGAAGCAGTGTTGTCAATTGCGGATTGTGGGAAACTAAAAATCTGCTAAATCATATGGCAGATTAGCGTAGAGGGCAAATAGCGGAAACTATATGACATTGCAGGCTATAACATTACAGCACTGCAATAGATAACACCGGTTAGGAGAGATCAATTCCTTAAATAGATCTCATTACTTGGAGGGATTAGTTCGTATCTATCGGCTAAAGGATATTTTGGTTTACCCAAAAAACAAGTTTAGTGGTAGGGAGGGTACAAAACTTACCTCTAGAGACTAGAGACTACGTCAAAATAGAACCATGTACTGCGAGAATGTTTCTTCTTGGAGACTATATTATCTTGTCTCTATTTGGTTACTCAACCATTAAAATTTGAGCAATGTTACTCATTAATTATTATTTTTTTTTGCAATGATCTCTTACGTATCTCTCTATGTAATATCACCTATCTTTCACTCACTTCTCTTCCTATCACTCCCTTGTGTAGCAATTGTTAAAATCTTTTATTGCATAAATAACATTAAAATCATTTGTTCTATTGATGTTGGTTCTAATTCACTTGGAACTTACATTTATACTTGTGTTTAAACATCTAGCGAAGATTTCATTTAAGATTGAAATAGAATGTCTGTGTTAGAGGAGGAGATTTACATGGAGCAACCTCCTGGTTTTGTTGCTCAGGGGGAGTCTGGTTTAGTCTGTAAATTGAGAAGATCTCTTTATGGCCTCAAACAATCTCCTCGAACTTGGTTTGGAAAATTTAGTCATGTTGTACAGGACTTTGGGCTTAAAAGAAGCGAAGCAGACCACTCTGTTTTCTATTGTCATACTTCTCCCGGGAGATGTGTTTATTTGATTGTTTATGTGGATGACATAGTGATTACAGGAAATGATGTAGCTACAATTTCTCAATTGAAGAAACATTTGTTTAGCCATTTTCAGACCAAAGATCTGGGACATCTAAAATATTTTCTTGGTATTGAAGTTGCCCAATCAAAGGAAGGCATTGTGATCTCTCAAAGGAAGTATGCTTTGGACATTTTGGAGGAAACAGGTATGACTGATTGCAGACCCATTGATAGTCCTATGGATCCTAACCAAAAGTTAATGACTGATCAAGGTGAACCGTTCACAGATCCAGAAAGGTATAGGAGATTGGTTGGGAAACTCATTTATCTTACAATCACGAGACCTGATCTCTCTTTTGCAGTAGGGGTTGTTAGTCAGTTCATGCAGGCTCCTCATATTGATCATTGGAATGCTGTTCTGCGTATTCTTAGATATATCAAAAAGGCTCCAGGACAAGGATTACTATATGAGGACAAAGGAGATAATCAAATTTCTGGATATTGTGATGCTGATTGGGCAGGATGTCCTATAGATAGGCGTTCTACTACTGGATATTGTGTATTCCTTGGTGGAAATCTCATTTCTTGGAAGAGTAAGAAACAAAATGTTGTTGCTCGATCTAGTGCTGAAGCTGAATATCGAGCTATGGCCTTGATTACTTGTGAATTTATTTGGATTAAGCAACTCATTCAAGAGTTAAGATTTTGTGAGAATCATCCAATGAAATTGTATTGTGATAATCAAGCCGCTCTTCACATTGCTTCCAATCCAGTATTTCACGAGAGAACCAAGCATATAGAGGTTGATTGTCATTTTGTGAGAGAGAAGTTGCTGTCCAAGGAAATCATTACTGAATTTGTCAATTCTAGTGAACAACTTGCAGATGTCATGACTAAGTCATTAAGGGGGCCTCGAATTCAATTTTTATGTTCCAAGCTCGGTGCATATAATCTGTATGCACCAGCTTGAGGGGGAGTGTTGGAATAGCTTGTTTAGAAAGCTTATTCTTTAAATATTTATTGTATTTTTCTGATTGGTCTTTTCTCCTGGTGTAATTAATTAGTCTTCTAGACTCTGTAACCTTTTGTCTTCTTGTAACCCTAATTACTCTATATAATAAAAAGATACAGATCAGGATAACTGATCCTTTTTGGCCACTCTTTCAAATATTCAAGTGTCTGTATAACTAAGGACATTTTTTTTTCTTCCCTTTTATTTGTTGTGGATAAATTATGTTTATGGTTTTTGCATTTTGAAAATTTTCTTCATGTTTCTTGTATCTTTTCTTACAATTTTAGAGGGAATCTTGTTCTTTTCTATGTTGTGTTTTCTTTATATCTCTATTTTCTTATTAACTTTCTATTGTGGCCAAGATAAATAGTTATATATTGTAAGAAATGCTGAGAAAATGTGTATATTACCACACATGTAATCCTTTATATATAATGAATAAGGAAATCAAATAAGGAAATACAATAATAAAAGATAACGGCTAATAATGAGTAGAATCCCTAATTTTCGCTATACAAGTTTCCCTAATTACAAATGAATCATGTCAAATCATATATTTAATACTCTCCCTCAAGCTAGAGCATCTATGTCATATGAGCAAAGCTTGTTACAAATATCATCAACTTGGAAGCCCTTGAGGGATTTGGTGAATATATCTTTGCCAATTCGTCACTAGATTTGATGGAGTGATGAAGCTAGTGATGATATCATTTGAAAGGACCTCTCGCACAAAATAACAATCAATTTATGTGTTTAGTTCGCTCATGGAAGATTGGGTTTGACACAATATAGATAGCAACTTGATTGTCACGTATTAGTCTAGACCCTGAATGTCTCCAAAGAGGCTTCACATTGGGATCCGGAGGTGTATCATTAGGGCGAAAATCATACTAGTCTTTGTTAAAATGTCCAGAGCATACTTACGTTGGGAAATGGAAATGCTAGAGGAGGATTGGGCAACTTCAATTCCCAAAAAGTATTTCAGTGGACTTAAGTCTTTTGTCTAAAATTGACTTTAGAGATGGGATTTTGAGTTGAAGGATATCATTTGACTCATTGTCGGTGATAACAATGTCATCAACATAGACAACTAGGTAGATGCAAAGGCTAAATGAAGTATGGAGGGAAGACATTGAGTGATTAGCCTCACAATGAGTCATGCTAGAATGAAGTAAAGTAGAGCTAAAATGACCAAACCAAGATGAGGGGACTGCTTCAAACCACCTTGAGAATGACAAACTTGACAAACCACACAAGTCATTTGAAATTGTAAAACATGGTGGCTAATTTATGTAAATTTCTTCTTACAACTCACAATGTAATGTAAGAATGCATTTTTAATGTCTAACCGGTGAAGAGGTCAATCGTGGGTTGTTGCCATAGCAAGAAAAAGACAAATGGAGGTGATTTTGGCCACGGGGGAGTAGGTGTCCCCATAGTCGAGACAAAAAATCAGAGTGTATCCTTTGGCCACCAAGTGTGCCTTATAGCGACCAATGTTGCCATTTGGGCTAATCTTCATTGTATAAACCCATTGACAACCCATAGTAGTCTTACCAATAGGTAAGGGGACAAGTTCCCAGGTGTCATTGGCATGTAAAGCAATCACTTCCTACAACATTGCTTGTTGCCCATTAGGATCAATCATGGCTTCACTTGTAGACTTGGCAATCGACACAAAATCCAAAGAAGAGATAAAGGATGTGGGAGACGAACGACCATAATGCAGAGAAAAGGCATGTAAGGGATTAGGGTTACGTGAAGACCAAATACCTTTGCAAATAGCTATTGGAAGGTCAAGTGCAAGCGATGTTGGTGGATGTGCGTTTGGAGCAAGAGATGTGTTGGAGGTTCATGAGATGTTATCATTGGTGGAGGTTGTGTACATCTATGGTAGGTGAGTAGTGGTGGTGGAATGATTAGAGCCAGCTCAACAGATAGAAGAATAGGTGGCACATCCAGAACACCATCATCAATAGTTGAAGAGGAGAGAAAAGGGGTAGTCTTGAAAAAAGGTAACACTAGCATAGACTATATCGTTGAAGTTGAGGACAAAAACAGTTTCTGAAGGCAAGAGTAGCAGAGGAAGAGACGCAAGAGAGACTTGGAAAAAAGTTTATCTTTACTTGGAGTGGGATCATGGACAGAACATGTGCATCCAAAGGTTCAAAGAGGGACAATGTATAGAGTTCGCTGAGGGGACAAGATGAAGTAAGGAACCAAATTTGCCAAGAACAAAAGAAGGCATATGATTGATTCAGGTAACATGCAATAAGGAGTGCATCTCTTAGAAGCAGAGTGGGACATTATAATGAAGGAGGAGGGTGTGAGCTATTTCAATTAAGTGACGATTTTTCCGTTTAGCAATACCTTTTTGTTGTGGTGTGTGGGCACACGAGGTTTCATGAAGAATAACCTGAAAAGCACCAATTGAGAAAGAAAAGTATTTGCGATTATTATTGGTGCATAACATTTTAATTGAAGTTCCAAATTGGTTTTTAATTTCATTGAAAAAACCTTGAAAACTAGAGAACACATTAGAACGACTCTTCACTAATAACACCTAGGTGCATTGGGAAAAATTATCAATAAGTGACAAAACAAAAATAACCTAAGGTTGAACATGCACAACTAGAACCCTAAATGTCAGAGTGAACTAAAGCAAAAGGTGTCATAGCACATCTATTGGCATAGGGATTGTAAGCTTGACGAATATGTGTGCCTAATTGACATGATTCACGCTGGAAAGACTTAACTGAAGAAAGACTAGGAACCAAAATGTGTAATTTGTCCAAAATAGGATGGCCGATAATGATGAGGAATTTCTAAGGAGATAGTGTGGCCACTAATGGTGGTAGTTGGTACAATCCTCCGGACTCATACTACTCCAATTGTCCATTCGGTATGTTGATCTTGAATAAGAACAAAGTTATTAACAAACACAATAAAGTAGTCAAGAGTGCGGGTGAGTTTGCTAATGGAAAATAAATTAAAAGGGCAATTAGGAACAAATAAGACAGAATCAAAGGACAAATTAGGAAATGGATGTGTTTCTCTAATGCCATGAACTGGAATTCAAGAGCCATTTGCTACAGTTCGAAAAAGACAAATGAGAGAAAATGGTTTGGTTAATAGTCATATGATTGAAGGCACCTGCGTCAACTATCCAAGGCTTAGGAGAACGTAACTGAGAAACAAAGGCCATGGAATTACTTGACTGAGCCATGGCTGTAATAGATGATGGAAGAGGTTGGGCTGCTTGAAGTTGTAGAAAGTCATTGAACTTGGCAACAAAAATAATTACATTTGCAGGTGAGGCTTCAATTGTTGGTGGGACAACATGGGCCACATTCATAGCCTTCAAATGGTCTCTAGCCTCGGTGTGACATTCAGCCTTGACATGGCCATATCAGTTGCAATAATTACAATGAAGATGATGTTGACCTCTACGAGCTCCACTTTGACCCCAATGTTGAGAAGATTAGGAGACAATGGTAGAGGTGGGCTGAAAAGCATGTGGAATGGAGAGGCACAAAAATTGTTCACTAATGGTGTCATAGCTAGGATCATCAGTGCCTGGTAACATCTGATTGGGATGACGTCAAGTTCAGGTGTGGGACTAGCTAGGGCAAGGGTCATGAAGAACTGGCTGCGTTGCGTATACAAAGTGTCTACATCATGTGTGATGGGCATGAGAGTGTTATATTCAGGAATTGAACAGTCAAGCTTACCGAGGTAGGTTTGCAAATCCGTGTTTTCTAATTTGGTGTCTTTCAAGCTAGTGATGACATTGTAGAAACAGTGGACATCATTGGAAAAGACCTTTTTGGTTTTATTCCACACCTCATAGCAAGGTGGATAAGCCTGAAATTGTGCTGGAGGTTAGGAGCAAGAGAAAACCATAGAACACTACACAAGGAAGCATCGACTTGCTGCCAACAAACTCTATCCACAGCAGGGACATCCTTGGCTTGGGTGGTCAAGTGAGCTGCACAACCTTGGCCATGGAACCACAACTGGACAGCAGTGGTCCAAGTGCTGTAGTTGGCTGTCCTGATTAATTTTTCTCATGGAATCAGTGGAACCATGGTAAAAGTTGCCACAGATCCAGAATCAGAAGTAAAATTTGAAGTCTCCCATGAAATAGCAGTAAAAAAAAAAAATAGATGGGAGGAGTTGCTGGAATGGTGGGTGGAAGGCCAAAGAAAGGAGTACCAACATGTGGGCACAAGTGAAAATATGCATGTTGCATCAGACTTGGACTTGTGAACAGTACTTGTCAGAATGTGGCAGTGTGAGGTGGCAGACGGGACAGTACTTTAGACAGAACTGGTCGCCCTTAATTTCTGCTATACAAGTTTCCCTAATCATATCAAATCAAATTATATCTAATTATATATTTAACATATGTATTACAACCTGTTTTCTCTTGACCACTCTCATCCTTGTCTCATGCTTGATTTATTTCACTTATTTGCGCAAAAAAATTAACCAGAACCTCTTTGTCTGAACTTCTACTAGTATTATGTTATCTTGGTTAATAAAGGCATTCTTTTTTCATCCTCACTGTTTTGATTTCTGCTGCAGTTATCAGAACTAGTGAATGCTGAAGGCTATAGTGAATGGATACGCTTAGTAGCAGAGTTTACATTGAAATCTTTGCATTCTTGGAAGGTATGCATCTTATGACTATCGAATCAATATGTTCCTTGAAGGAACTGAATTGTATGTTTCATTGTTTTGTTTGTCAAATGACAGAATCAATGTGTCAGATATTCTGAGTGATTGTAAGTCATCTAAACTTCTATGTATGTTTGTCTGTACACACATTTGTGTGTAATATATGTACATGCATTTACGTATGTATATGGGCCTGTGTATTATTTTTCATCTTTTTTTTTTCTCTTTTTTTTTTCTGCTTTTGTCAGCTTTGAGAGGATTCTTTGTTCTTCTGTTTTGTTTTCTTAATCTTCCTAAAACTCAATATTGAAAAAAATGGCTGGATATTAAATATAAAAACAAACTTCTATTAATTCATATATGTTTCTTCTTTCAGTGGGCTGGCAGCAGTGTTTACTACCTTCTAAATTTATGGTCTAGATCAGTGACGTCTGTGCGGTATCTTAAGAGTGACAAACCTAACCTGCTAGATGAATATGTGCCTAAAGTTATAGAAGGGTTTGTATCATCAAGATTTGATTCATTGCAGGTCAGCTGCTTTAAGATTCCATATAGGCATGCATAAAAACATAAATGAATCCAATATTTATTCTCATTTTAACTTTTAATTGTCCTTTTATTGCAGTCTGAACTATCTGATGAACTTGGTGAAAACCCACTTGACAATGTTGAAGTACTTCAAGATCAGCTTGAATTTTTTCCTTTCCTCTGTAGATTTCAGGTTCATGCTTCTTGGATTATATGGAGTTACATGTTATCTTGACGGAGTGAATGCTTACTTTTAGCATCTGTATTTTATCATTGAATTTCAGTATGAAAGTTGCAGTTCGTATTTGATGAAGATAGTGGAGCCTATCATGAAAAGCTATTTGGTATTTTTAGTAGTTCATTATGTAGTTCTCTAACTTCGTTATACTATTTTAATAAAATATTCTGATTTGATTATATACATTTTGTGTAGCAGGAAGCAAATCATCAACTCCACGTAGATAGTTATGAACTCTCCATAACCGAATCCAAACTTGCTTGGTTTACACACATAGTTGCTGCAATTCTCAGAACAAAACAGATTTCTGGTTCTAGGTATTTTGCTTGAACCGCTGAAGGATAATTATGACTTTTGCACAGTGAGGTGTTAAGTTGTCTTTTATTTCTATACTACAGTGGAGAATCACATGAGATACTTGATGCGGAGATTTCTGCATGTGTTTTGCAGTTGATTAATATTTCTGACAGTGGATTTCACAGTAAGGTATGTGGTATATTTTCTTTTCTTGTTATTCTGTGTTCATTATGCCCAAATATTTATTTATTTGACACCATCTGTTCATTTGGTGGGTTCTGATTCATTAATTAATATTCTGTCTCTTGGGCTTGCCATATGATTTACTAAGGAAATCTTGGAGGGATTACTCAGTGTAAAACTATTTTTCTCTTTTATGCCTTGTTCTAAAGCAACACCAAGTGACAATTTGGCTCAATTTCCTCCCCATGCTTATCATTCATTTAGATGTTATTACCATACTCTTGCTACGTAAAGATCCCTCAATTATTCTTAAATCATGGACTTTTATCATTACTTTCACTGAGGCCCTTAAGATAAAAAGAATGTGAACAGGCCTTATTTGCCTGAGTTTTTGGATGGGTTCCCCATCTTTGGAGTCTTACATGTGGATTTTTAGCAAGTCATATAAACCTACTTAAATTTCATAGAATTTTGATATGCATGTCTTGTAATAGTTCCACCTCATAGCTTTGTTTTTTGTATAAATAATTAAGCAAGCAATTGTTAACAAGAATTATATTGAAGGTTGTGTTAGATATATAGCACATATAGCGCTTGCTTAAATTAGTTTCAGCACATGTAATGTACCATTTAAGACTTGATTAGCATTTATTATGTAATATTATTGTACCCTACTTATGCAAGTATAACTACTAGTGTGTTGTCTGCATTTATTGCATTTTAAAGATTCTTTCTGTGTCAGTTATGTTATTCAGGTTAGCATGCAGATGTAGTGGTACTTTACTTTAAAGAGCCTTCCTTCTAGGTTGAGTCTAGGTCTATTCTTTAGCTTCTTATCTCGATATTTGTTGACACCATACTATTAATTCAGAGATATGGAGATCTAAGCAAGCAAAGACTTGATCGTGCTATCCTAACTTTCCTACAGCATCTTAGAAGGTGTTACATTGGTGACCAGGCTGTTTTTTCTTCCAAGGTAGGAGATAGAAAACTATTTTCCTTTCAATTTCAAATATTCTTAAGAAGGTTAAATCTCTCATTTTCTTGTTTTTCTGGACTGTAATTGCAGCAGTTATATACCCGGCTGTCTGAACTTCTTGGACTTCATGATCATCTACTACTACTAAATGTTATTGTGGGAAAGATAACTACTAACCTTAAGAACTACACTAAGGTGATGAATTGTTGACATGATCTTTTGCTTTGCTGTTATTATTGAGCTCACAACAGGAGAATTTCTATGTGCAGTGCAAAGAGGTTATTGATCATACCTTAAATCTCTTTCTGGAAATGACATCTGGGTTAGTTTGGTTCCATTTCAACTTCCTTGTAGTGATATGAGTTATTTATGCAATTTTATATTTTGGTTTCCGTATATTTTATTGGGTAAGGATTTTGTTTTTGCAGGTACATGTCAGGAAAGCTGCTGCTTAAATTGGATACTGTTAAACACATAATTTCGAATCAGAATGTGAGCTGCCTCTAAATTAATAAGGATGAGATGCACTTTGATCTCCATGTTGTTCTTTTGGTTTTATGCTATATACTATTTGAAATTATATAGTTTATGTGAGGTAGAAGAAAATGAGATAATGAGGACTTTGAATAACATGATTATTGATTGTGTATAATAATGTATTACAAAATACAAAGTGCTAATTCCTTCCTATTTAAGCTAGTACTCAAAATCCTATTTTTATTCAAATAAGGAAACAAACCATGAAATGTAATGAAAAAAATGCAAGTCACTACTAAAAGATCATCTATCATACCCTAAAGGATTATTCGATACAATAATGATTTTATAAGATATTTAAAACTCTCCCTCACGCTCTCATGCTGAAAGTCTGAAACTACTAAGCTTTAAGCTGGTTACTAACAGTGAACACTTAAAAAAAAGGTAATTCAAGCATGTTGGAGACATTGGCAGACTAGCATTGCTGGGAAGCTAACTTGGCATGAAGACTTGATTGTGCGGCACGTTCTGCAGTTTTCTGGCCTCCCTGTTGTTTGCCCCCTCACCCTCTGTTCTGCAGCTTCAGCCCTTCCTAGTTTTAGCTTCAGCCCTTCCTAGTTTTATTTTTCTGAAGCAACAGGCACATTTTTGTTTTACTAAAAGGAGATGGTTGAGTTGAGTGAGGAGGTAGTGGCTGAAGGGAGAAAAGGCTAGGTTTTTTTGGTTTCTAGAGTCAGGGGATGCTGGGCATGCACTCCAAATTGGGCCCTTCTACACACCATGGTCTCCTACAATTGGTCTGTGGTATTTCACTATTTTTTTAATTAATCATATATTTAACTATTTTAAAACTATAAGATACTCTATTATTTAAAATATAAAAAAATATTAGTACATAGTTATATACCATATAATTATATAGTAGGGACAAATATATATCATTGACAGTGTATACGATAGCTTTATATTTGTAAATAATAAACTTAGTTACTTAAATATCTGTTGTGACTAACTGAAGTCAGGTATGCTGACCACCCAGTTATTTAGATCTGAGCTCTAGTTCAGTCAGCATAGCTTTTTGTGTAAGTGTAGGCTATTTCTATCTGTATAAATACTTAAATCTGTACATCTTTCATAATGTGAAATATATAATTCAGTGTACACAAATCTCTCTCTGTGAAATTTATTTAGCTTTTTATATATAAAAAAAATATATAAATAGAAAAAAGGTTGTAACTAGATATATAATAATAAAAATACATAATAATAATAGTAATAACAATAATAATTTTAAGCAATAGAATATACATATATATAAATATATTTAATATTTTTTCAGAATAGTAGCCATCTTGCTATCCTGCTATGGTGTTTTTGGGTTGGCTGCTATGCTCCGTTATCCGGGATTTAAATCAGTGGCTGATGAATTGATTTTAATAGAATGGTTATTTGTAAAAATCTCTTTGCAACCAATTATCAAGAATAATGTCTAGGAATCATTTGCAATGTTTTTAAACTTCAAACATATATTCACGACAGGATCCAACACTAGGAAGGTTCCAACAGTACAAAAAACTTGAAAATAAAATGTTGGCATTATTCAGGGGTCAATATGAGTTACAGACTGTCATTGTAGGGCTTGAATTGCACAATTTTTGAAGCTGGATAACAAATCTGTAGTTTAAAATGCAAGGGAAAAAAGGAACATGCGTAATAGTTAGAGTAATTGACTTGATGTTTTGATTTCTGTATATGGTTACTTGTTCACTTCTGCAAATTTCTAAGGGAAAACTTATCTTCTCTTTCCAGAGGGACCAGTTCCCTTTCATAGAAAATTGGGAATGTTTCCGCAGCAGAACAACACTGTACTATACTATTGGCATATTGATATTCTTAGAAGATAGCCTATTGAAATTTAAATCTGCAATGGAGCCTTTCCTACAGGTTGGTAGTACTAATTTGCCATAAAAATTCTTGTTAAATCATGCTGGAAATAACAATTTTATTGATCCATTATAGCAACAAGTATTCTGACTCCTTATTCTTAAGAAACTAGTCTTATACAGTAATTGTAGCAAACTTGTGATTAGAAAGCAGAATTATCTATAGTGGCCTTGTAAATTTAAATTGTATTTATTTCTCAATGTATATAAGTTTGAAAGCTACTGAGTGCGTACTGACTCAAGCAATTCACAAAATTTTCTTTCAAATTTTCCTTCCTATCAATATCTTAACTAATCTCTTGTGGTTATGCGTCTGTTTTGATTTGCGACACATTAGAGAAATTGCAATGTTGAATTTTGAAAGATAGATTTCTTTTGTTTTAATCTTTTTCAGTTTTCACCAAGTTGAGCCAACTGGTTAACTCTTTTGGAAAGATATTCTTCTTTTTATTTTTATTTTTTAATTTTTTTTTATCTATCGGCATTACAATAATAACACTATGATTTGAACCTATGACTTATTGCATTCTATCCCAACTTCCCCACCATTAGGCTGACCCTAATAATTATGGAAAGATATTCTGATGTCAATGGTCATAACTTTAAATTTTCTTTTTTCCTTGTACAAGATACTGTATACTTCTATGGACAAATAAAGGTAACAACAGATATACTGGTCCACTCCTTTAAGCATGGTTTATTTGCAAACTACTAATTCTTTGTAATCGTTGAACTCAATATTGGCTGGTTAATCCTTTTATCCATAGTTTTAGTTGGTTAACAAGGTTATGTCTTCATGAGCTTCTTGTGACAATTGATGCTTGTTGCACGATACCTCCATTACGTTAGGCCTAGCAAGTTATGCAGTGTACAAAACATTGTATTTTCAATACTCGATAGATTAATTATTTTTCATGTCCTGTTGATTATTTTACATTCTAATTGATTTTATTTTATTCTTAATTTTAAGGTTTTGGTTAGATTGGAATCAACATCTGAAGCACTGTTCCAATCAGATGCTGTAAAATATGCATTCATTGGGTTGATGCGAGACCTTCGAGGAATAGCAATGGCAACTAATAGGTTGGCACTGATTAAACATCGGAAACTATGTTTTGTTTGCAAAGGACATATTACGTTGTTGACAGTGTTAATTTTCTTTGATTGTTCTTAATTGCTTGTTAACAGCCGTAGAACGTATGGATTCCTTTTTGATTGGCTTTATCCTGCACACATGCCCCTTCTTTTGAAAGGAATTACACAATATGCTGATATTCCCGAGGTTTGGCTTCATTCTTTTCTGTTAAAGCTGATTAAAAGGTGATCACCAATTGCTATGCAATTGAAACAATAATTGTATTATCTTAGTTTTACTTGAATTTTCATAATGGCATTTCATATTTTATCGTATTGCTATATGACTAGCTATACTATATGGTAGTGAATGTTGGACTTTAAGGGAATAACAGTAAAAAAGTGAGTAACAAATGAGGATGTTTAGGTGGATGTGTGACTACATAAGGAAAGGCATGATGTTGGATGATTATAGACGAGGAGATATTGGTATAACATTTATTATGGAAAAGATGATGGAAAATTGGTTATGGTGGTTAGGTCACGTGCAAAAGAATTGGAAGGCTTTGGTTAGTAAAGTAGATTGCATGGGGTTTTGTCCTATGAAAAGGGGTAGAGAGAGACCAAGAAAGACATTGGAAGAAATTCTTACAAGAGCTCTCTTTATAAATAATATCAATGGGAATTTGGTTTTTAACCAAGCCCAATGGTGTCACATTTTCTTTGTAGCCTACCTCACCTAGCAGGATAAAGTTGTTGGGCTTTGGCCTATGATAATTATAGGGAGACCAAGGACATTGGAGGATATTATTATATGGGGCCTCCTAGTGAATAATATTCCCGAGAATTTGGATTTTAATCAAATACAATGGTGTTATGTGATTTATATAGCCCAACCTCACCTAGTGGGATAGGACTATTGTAGGAATATCTTTTGTTTCCCTCTCAAATCTGGTTTAACTACTTCAATGTTTTTTCTTTTTCATCTTAAATCTTAGTGACATATACTCATTGATATCGATTCTTTTTAATTTTTTTTCCCTTATTACATTAAATCTAAGCTAGATATATTTTTTACTCATTGATATTGAAGTGTTATCTTTTGAAGAGAGCGTCCAATTTCAAGTTAAAACTGTTGCATAGAAATCCAACTATCTGGTGCTGAAGGGGGAATAAGTCAGTCAACTTTTGTAACAATAACTTTTTTGATGTAACCCATTTCCTCTTAATAAAACAATTGTTTGGCTAATTTTACCACCATAAAAAGAAGGCATTAAATAATTCATGTCTGAAGAGCTTATCCTGCACATCTTTCAATCAATGTTACATTTCAGTTCCCATACACAATTAAATGCCGAAACAGGCATGTTAATATTCACCTCCAATATTTCTTAAAGATAGTTATCATTATCACACTGGTGGGATGTTTGATTGCAAAAACATGATGCAGGTAACAACTCCATTATTGAAATTGATGGCCGAACTAGTGCTGAACAAATCCCAGCGATTGAGTTTTGATTCTTCTTCTCCTAATGGGATACTGCTTTTCCGAGAAGTTAGTAAATTAGTTGTTGCTTATGGATCAAGAATTTTACCTCTTCCTAATAAAGCAGATATGTACACATCCAAATATAAGGGAATATCAATTTGTTTGATAATTCTTACACGAGGTATGTATATATTATGATATATTATAATAGCTCTGTCTTTATGTTCTTTTTCTGTTGATGTGAAGGATGCAGTGCAAAGCACTGCACTATTTGGAGCATGAAGTCGTTTAGGTTTATATCTAGGTAACATTGTCATTAGATCTAAACATCAAATGGTAAATATAATTTTTAGTGTCACCACCTTCCAACCTGTGTTTGACTACTTTCTAATTATTATATATATGTGTGTATATATATATATATAGGTTTCACTCGTCCAAATGGTTTTGTACTTGCTCTTTTAAGTAATTTTGTTGTAATTTATGTGCAATCTTATTTAAGCTGCATGGGATTTATTTATATGTAAATCTGAATAGTAGACGGTGACAGAAGTGAAAGGATAAATTCTCGGTCTGTTTTTATTATTGACTATTTTAGAGGTTGGTTTGGTAATAGTTGATTACTTCATTAACACATGCATCATATTTATAATATTATGTACTATTTGTTTATCCTTATTTTGGTTTTGGAAGCAAAAAGGAATTAAGTGTACATTTTATGTAAATGGGATCATATATTTATGTTGCCCATGGATTTATAGTGGTTGTTTTCCTTTTTATGGCAGCATTATCAGGGAACTTTGTCAACTTTGGTATTTTTGAACTTTATGGTGACAGAGCACTTGTTGATGCTCTTGATATCACTGTAAAGATGATATTATCAATTCCTTTGACTGATATATTGGCATTTCGGAAGGTAATTACTCTACCTTTATGTTCTCTAATGTATTGGTTAACAATATAAGTGCTTTCCTCTGGTTTGTTCAAATTGTGTTGTAAATTGCAATCCATTTCTCTACTTAAATGTTTAAGTTTTAATTATTTTGGTAATGTTTTGCAAGAAGTTTGAATCGCAATTGGTTTGCTTGTTTTCCTAAACTAATAATAGTCATTTGCATACAAGTGTTTGATCTTTTTTTCATGTACATTTGTGTTTGGTCTGTGCCTGTTTCCTTTATCTTGTTAACAGATTGTTCCAGATCTGATGTTTACAATTTTGTTTATGAAATATAGCTAAAAGAAATGCCTTGCCATGAAAGAACTGAAACTTAATGGCAGCTGTGTTTGAATTAAAAAGGAAACAACGAATTTAGAGTTCACATTGATGTGTCCCAATCACAGCATATTGCGGCTATAGTTTCTAATGAGATGGAAAATCTCTATGTTCCAACCTTTTTATTTTTTTCTTCTGGTTTATTTTCCAGGTTGCAGCAGCTTACTTTGCATTCTTGGAGACTCTCTTCTGTAGTCATTTGTCATTTGTTCTGAGTTTGGATAAAACTGCATTTATGCTTGTTGTTGGATCTCTTGAATCAGGCCTTAAAGATTTGAGTGAGAAAATATCATCACAGGTTTGTAAAAGTGTGGCACATTTTTTAGTTATTAATGTTATTACTGGTATTAAATACACATTTTGATTCATAAACTGAATTTCAATTTATATATGCTCATGAACTGAGAACTAAGTGCAATTTCTTAACGATGTTTCCGTACTTGCTTACTCTAGCTTTCCCTTTGTGTATAGTGTGCCTATGCTATCGACCACTTGGCTACATTCTATTTCACCCAAGTTACTGTTGGAGAGTCGGTTACCTCACCAGCTACTCTTAATGTAGCTGGACTCATTTCTGATTGCGCTGAGCTTTTCTCTAGAGTAAGTTTTTAATTAGCTTACTGTAAGGTTCAGTTTTCATTTTCTTACAGCTTGAACTAATGCAGCTTATTCTATTGATATTTTGTCTCACATAAGAATTTCTTAACCTTTTAATCGTCTTAAAATTTTTCCTTAGATATTGCGAACCCTATTTGAAGTTGTTATATTTGAGGACCGTGGCAATCAGTGGACTCTTAGCCGAGCAATTCTGAGCATGATACTAATCAGTGAAGAGGTGATTATTTGACTATCCCATTGTTATTTTGATTCACTTTAATTTTGTGTGTTCATACTGTTTCAGAAGCTATAAACTCGAATGCTTGTTCATGCTAATCATAACACATAATCTGTAGGTACAGTGTTCTGACATTATTGTTTAAAAAACTAGGTGCTTAAGTACATATTAGAGCATTTGGCCTGATTGGTATTATAACATTGGTATGCAAGATACCCAATTTTCTTGGATTTTGAACAGGATGTGGTGATGCATACATTTGATGTGAGGGCATTGTGTTTAAATCTTGAAATGTAGGATGTCAAAGAATCCAATTTTTTCACATTGTTGGCCGTTCAATGTTTGATATTCATATAAATTTTTAATCCTGTGTTCTGTGTATGTGCTACTTTTGGCAGTTTCCAAATAGGGTTTTGATGGTGTTGGAAGAATTACTACTAGGAAGAGTAAGCTTAATAATCAAAAGATTTTACATTATTGGGTTAGGGTTGACATGAAAGATACTTACTTTGTTTATTTGTATGAAATAGAAATATTATTAGATAATTGCAAAAAAAAAAAAATAGCAGGTGGGTGTGCTCCACAAGAAGTTGGTCGTGTTAAATAAAGCTCATTGGTTACTAGATTTTGCACTCCTTTGATCATATTGCTTGCAAACCTTTTGTCAAATTTATCTCGCATAGAAACTATTCATTCTGGACTTTTGTTCTTCTAAAAATGTTTTCAAATGTCATCAATATACTGTAAATCCTAGTTGAGGAGTTTTTTCCTTATTTATTTGGTTATGGTTGGTAGAATTAATTGTATTGATTGGCACGGGCTTGAGTTTCTACTAGTATTACTTGTATTACACTAGTACACATCTACCTGATATCCATCTAATATTATTAGGATCATACTTTACTTTTCATTCCACCATATCTAAATCTTATAATTTCTTACGTATGTGCTAGTATATCAACTTCTTTATGATGCAGAAATTATAGTTATTAATTAGAAGTATATTATGGGCCAGGCCCATCATATATATATATATATAGGGAGCATATTAAGTGAGAGGGAATTTATTATGAGAGATGAGAGGGTTAAAATATAACCCTTAGATTAATTTCCTCTCACTTGATTAAACCTCAAATTTTCTCTCACTTGATTAATCTAAGGATTATATTTTAACTCTCTCATCTCTCATAATAAATTTTCTCTCACTTGATATGCTCCCTATATATATATATATAAATAGGAGGATACTATGTCGAGGAGAGACATTCAAATTAGGAAGTCTGTGGGAATATAGCATTGGCTCTGATGTAAAAGGGGAAACCCTTGGATGAGAGATTTCTCTCTTATTTCGTCTTATTTCAATCCTATTCAATAAAATATGTCTTTTATTTCTCATTCCTAATTCTTGTTTCCTAACAGACTTGCTAATTTTTGTTGTAGATGTTCACAAATGTCAAGGCTCAAATTTTGGCTTCATATGTAAGTCTAAAACTGTCTACGAAATATATTGACCAGCGTATCTTGTTATGTAATTTAGCAGTATTTTGGGCTTCCCTCTATTGGTATTCCTGGCATGCATTGTGTTAATGTGGCCATAAATATAAATTGATCTCTTGCTCTACTATTACCACTATTAACTTGGGATATTTAATAAATTGATCAGTAATCCATACTGAAACAAATAATTTCTGAATATAATTTCTTAACAAAAAAAAACTGTACACAACATTACATTATATATTGTCTAACAGAATAATTGCTTTCCTAAAACAAGGCTGAATCTATGAAAAGTATTAATCTGCCCTAATTCCAATGTTTGATATCTAATCAGGGCAAGAGAATCATTCATTTAATGATTAATTGGAGAATCAGACAATTATTGATTTGATTGCAATGTAGTTATAATAATTTATATTTAGGGAAACTGTAGATATGTCCAGGGGATTCTTTTTGGTACAGTCAACCCCCCTTAATTATAGTGGTACAGATTTGTTTCTTTTTAGGATATGCTTTGAGTTTTCTTTTCTTTATTAGATTCCTGATTGATGTAAATATTAGTGTTTAGCAATCTCAGCAATCTCATACGCATCACATAACAATGGAAAGACTCAACTGCCTCTTTGGAAAATATAAATAGATAGATCTAGGTTTAGAGAAAAAATATTTTATTTCTCAATGAATTCAAAATAGTGGTACAATCAGTATTTATGCAGGTCAATATAATACAGATCAAAATAAGTCTTAGAATTTGGGATTTCAATAGGCTTTATCATTGTGTAACGTCCACTGTATTCTAGAGTAGCTTCCTTTGTACTCTTTAGCAACTATATTAATAGTTGCACCTCCATTTGTACAGTCAGGAATATCATTATAATTCATATTCAATATGGTATAAAGAGAAAGGGTCAATATGAATTTTTTTTTGTTTTCTCCTCTTTTTCCTCTACATTCTTCCGAAATGAATTCCTCAACTGCGATTACCTTTTCACATTCAGTTTCACAGAAATTAGTCTCAAAGAACTACCTGTTATTGTGTCAATAGGGAGAACTAGTGATCACGGGACATTGTTTGCAACAATTTCTCATCAATCCAAATATTCTGAAGTAATATCAATCCTTTGAAGATCGCAATGATGATCGTGTAACTGAAGAATATCTTGCTTGGGAGCAACAAGATCAACTTCTCTTGTCTTTGCTTCAAGTGAAATGCTTACCAAAATCATTGGATGAAAATTGTCCTAGCAACTATGGGACAAGATTCATGCGTATTTTCATTCTCATACAAATGCAAAATCGAAACAACTTCGATCAGATTATCTTCTCCACATGCAAGTGCTTGCTGATGTGCTAATTACTATCGGTGACACTGTCAACTAGAGAACACCTTGATGCTATCATCGAAGGTCTTTTTGTTTCTCTTATCAGCTACACAATTGAGTCGTTATCTATTGACGGAGATTAAATTATTCTCCTCACTCAATAAGCACGATCGGAGAAGTTAAAGAAGAAAACATTAGTCTTGTCGAAGGAAACTTTGCACCAATTTCCTATGGATTTCACATACCAACAGTATTCATCTCTTCAATGGTTTTATCCTTCTTGGAATTCTTACTATCAAAGGCCACACACAACTTCTTTTCAATACAGTTGTCCACCTCCAACCACTAAAACCTCACCACAAACCACATCATCCCACCAATACACCAAGTCCTCAAGCTATGCTCACAAATAATGAACCCTATAGTAGTGGAAATTGGTACCCTGACTCTGGAGCAAGTCATCATGTCACCATGTTTCAAAACATACTGTAGCACACACCTTTTGAAGGACTAGATCAAATCCTGGTAGAAAATGGTCAACGTCTTCCTATTCAATCTGCAAGTTTTACCTCCTTTATGTGTCCTGTTAATTCTCAAATTCCCCTTATTCTAAAAAAATACTGTTTGTGGCGCAAATTACTAAAAATCTTATGAGTTAGTTAGTTTGCTAAGGTTAATTATGTTTATTTTGAATTTCACGCAACTTTGTGTGGTGAAATCACAGCCATTAATGAGGAGTTGTCATCCAGATGGTTGGTATCAATTTCCATCCCTGTTGAAAGGATAGCACTACAGCCACTTCAAGTAGTACCATAGTTGACTTATCTCCCTCATCGTTAGCCATTTGGCATTTTACGCTTGTTCAACCTAGTATACATGCATGTTCAAAGTAGTGTTTTACAAACATTGTAATTTTCCTCAAATAAATAAGTGAATTTTGTTCTTAATGTTGTCTTGGGGAAGCACACAAACTTCCATCTATGTTGTCTTCAATAGTTTATATAAAGCTATTAGAATTGATTCAGACCTTTGGGGTCCTGCATCTTTTACTTCTATAGGATACACTTTCTATGTTGCCTTTGTTGATGCCTACACCAGATATACTTTGCTATATTTCTTAAAATAGAAATCTGAAACAATACATGTTTTTAAAGAGTTTCAACTTGTGGAAAACAGTTTCAAACTCCTGTAAAAGTTGTTCAAATTGACGAGGGAGGGAGTGTTAAATAATTGTTTATTATATATGTTTGCAGTCTTATGAAAGTTGTTTTTTGGCCCTATCTATCTTAAGGGTTAAGATTTTTAGGCTGTAGCCTTGCATTTGCTGGCAATTGTACTTGTTCTGATCCTTTTTGTATATATAAACAATATACTAGCTGAGAGCAATCTCTCTCTGAATTTTTTGCCAAATATCAAATTTCAAGTTGGTATCAAAGCGGGTTAGATCATGCTCTGTCATCTTAAGTCACCGATTTGCCACTATTCACCGTCGCATCGTCGCTATCTATTGCTGCTAGCTATTGTTATTTTTTTCGACGAACTCAAGGTTAGGTGCACCTTGAGGAGTGTGACTCAACCTAGGAAGTCTCGTGCCCTAATACCCTGGCACGTTCCTCCAACATTGTTTTTCTTCAGTGCCTTTGTTCATTGCGTGCATATCACGTGTCATCCTCTATTTATCGAAATCTCGTCAGACCATTCCAATAGTTTTGTCGGAACCTTCCGATCATGCTTCTGCCCTCAACTATTAGTTTTGACCTACTTGGAGGTGTGGGTCTTGGTGTTTAAACTTCTTCTCCTTCGTCCTTGTCATTGAAATGGCCTTCATAGGTCCTATTTCCACTTTTTCTGGTACTCCTATCATTACAACTACAAAATTGAATTGGAAAAACTATTTGTCTTGGTTTGCCTCGGTAGAGTTGTGGGTCCTTGGTCAAGGATACCATGACCATTTGGAGAAGGAAGCTAGTATTATCATTATTGAAAATAAATCTCAATGGTAGAAACTAGACTTCCAGCTATGTGTTGTTCTATGGCAATCAGTTGAGCCTGATGTATTAGAGATACTCAGATCATTTAAGACATGTTATTCTTTTTAAAAAGAAGCCCAAGGTATTTTTGTTAATGACATTCAACGACTTTTTGATGCAACCCAAAAAGTAGCTTCTCTTAAACAGACCAACCATGATATGGTCTCACATGTTGCTAAAGCTCAGGCTACAATAGAGGAATTGAAAAGATTTCTTGTGGCTGACTCATTAGAGGGTGTCATCAAAAAACTTGATAAACTATATATATGATTCTGATTTTGATAAGTTTATATTCAGTTTTGTATCATGTACGTGACCAAATGTTGGTTGGAGATCAAATTTCTTCCATGGACAGTCTACTCATTGCATGGTTTTCTTGACAAGGTAGCCCATGTGTCCAAATTTGAAAAATCTTATTCCAAGTTTTCTAATGAGGAGTATCAGGAATATTTGAGGCTTAAATCTGAAAACTCCAACGGCAAAGCCCAATCTTCTTCTGTGCCAAGTGTTTCAACATGTATTTCTCAATCTATGGAAGGTCATGGTCCATGGATACTTGACTCAAGGGCTTTTGACCACATTTCTGGTAATAGTTCCTTATTCTCATCCATTTCTTCTCCAAAAGTTCCTCATCTTGTTACTGTAGCCAATGGGTCAAAAGTTGTTTTTCAAGGAATTGGTCAAGTTCCTTTGTCTCCTTTAAAATTAGATTCTATTTTGCTCTTTCCTCGTTGTCCTTATAACTTAATCTCTCTAAAAGCCAATTGACGCGTTCATTATATTGTTTGGTAACATTTGAACTTTCTTCCTTTTTATCTTCATAGAGTATTTTACATCAATTCACATGTCCTCACACACCACAACAAAATGGCATAGTAGAGAGGAAGAATAGACATCTCATTGAAATTGCACGCTCCCTAATGTTAAATATGAATGTTCTTGTACATCATTGGGGAGATGCAGGCCTTACTGCTTTTTTTAATTAATAGAATGTTCTCTTCCTCTCTTGAATATCAAATTCCTTAATATATAATTTTTCCAAATGACCCTTTATTTCATGTCTCCCCTTGGGTGTTTGGCTATACTTGCTTTGTTCATAATGTCTCTTCTGGTTCAGACAAACTTTTTGCAAAGGTTACTAAATGTGTTTTTCTAGGATATACTCACCGTCAAAAAAGGATACAAATGTTATTCTCCAACTACCAAAAGGTATTATATGTTTGTTGATGTTATCTTCTTCGAGGACACTTTTTTTTTATCCTCCGTGGACAATCCAGTTTCCATTCAATAGGTTCTTCTTGTTCCATCCTTCGACCCAATGATGAATCCTACTCCTTCTAACTCCAACCAAGATGAAAATCAGCCTCACTTTCATATTCATGATTTAGTTGAAGTTGTTCCACCACCCCCATTACATATTGGTGCAGGACACAACAAACTAATTTCACACTTGCTGAAGACTCTCGTGATTTAGATCCTCCTCCAATAGCTTCCCATACCACGGGTCCTTCATCCTCCTCAGCTCATGAATTCAATTCAAATTGGTCCATTGCTATTTAGAAAGGTATTCAGTCCACTTGTAATCCTCATCCTATTTATAATTTTTGGAGTTATCACCGCCTATCTCCTTTGTACTTCTCTTTTGTTTCTTCTTTGTCATCTACTGTTCCTAAAACTATCAATGAGGAAAGTAGGTTGTTGGTTGTAGATGAGTCTACGCAAGTTGGGCCTAGTGATGAAGTTAATCGCCTTAAAGCTCAGTTGGTAGCCAAGGGATACACTCATATGGCTAAGATCACCAAGGTTCGGATCTTTCTTGTTGTGGTGACTATTTGTCATTGGCCACTCCACTAGCTTGACATTAAAAATGCCTTCCTTCATGGTGACGTTGAGGAAGAGATTTACATGGAGCAACCTCCTAGATTTGTTACTCAAGGGGAGTGTGGTCTAGTTTGTAAATTGTGTCAGTCTTTGTATGGACTAAGGATGGTAAAAATACCCGCACCCGTGGATATCTGCGGGGTAAAATCTGCTACGGATAATAAATGGATATGCTAATTGGGTACTCGCGGATAATGGGGACGGATAATTTTTTACCCATGGGTGGGGGCAGGTATGATGATATCCATACTCGCGGGTACCTGTTTAATATTTCTTAAATATCTTAATTATTCTTGTTCCACATAACCCTAAAAACTACACTCATCTTTGTGATACGAGACTTTCACTTGTGAGATTGATGTATTCTAAGTTATTGATTATCTTGCATTTTTATTATTATTTCAATAAAATTAACGTTAAATATAAGTTCAAAATTAACATTGAATTTTTATTTTTAATATTTCAATGACATTAAATATAAATTTAAAATTATTTGTAATATAATTTTTTTTTAATTTCTTAAAAACTTTATCAATATCCATGGATATCCGTGGGTATTCAAGAAATTCATAGATATCTGCTTAATGGATACTCGCGCAGATATGGGATGGGTATGGAACCAATTTTTATCCAGCGGGGCAGGGACGGATTTATTATTATCCGCCCCCATGAGGCCCCATTGCCACCCCTAGTATGGGCTGAAACAATCATCCTAAGTTTGGTTTGGTACATTTAGTCATATTGTACAGATTTTTGGAATGAAATGATGTGAGGTAGATCATTCAATTTTTTATTGTTATTCTATTGGGAAATGTTTATTTAATGGTCTACGTTGATGATATAGTCATTACAGGAAATGATGCTACTAGGATTTCTCATCTAAAAGAGCACTTATTTATCCATTTTCAAACCAAAGACCTTGGTTGTCTGAAATACTTTCTTGGTATCAAAGTGGCTCAACCAAAGGAAGGTGTTGTAATTTCACAAAGAAAATTTGCTCTTGATATTTTGAAGGAGATAGGTTTGGAAAATTGTAGGTCAATTGATAGTCCTATGGACCCAAATCAGAAGTTAATGATAGACTAAGGTGAAATATTTTCAGATCCAGAGAGATATAGGAAGTTGGTGGGAAAACTCATTTATCTCATTATTACAAGACTTGATTCGTTTGTAGTTGGAGTTAGTCAATTCACGCATAATCCTCATATTGACCATTGGATTGTTGTGATTCACATCCTCAGATATATTAAAAAGGCTCCGGGACAAGGATTATTGTATGAGGACAAGGGAAATACTCAAGTCTCAGGGTATTGTGATGCAGATTAGGCTGGTTGTCCCATACATAGGAAATCCACCACTGGATATTGTGTATTCATTGGAGGAAATATTATTTCTTGGAAGAGCAAGAAACAAAGTGTTGTTGCTCGATCTAGTGCGGAAGCTGAATGTAGATCTATGACTTTGGCTACTTTTGAACTTGTGTAGATTAAACAACGCCTTCAAGAGTTAAAATTTTGTAGAGTTAAGCAAATGAAGTTGTATTGTGATAATCAAGCAACCCTTCATATTGCCTCCATTCCAATGTTTCATGAGAGAACCAAAAAATCGAGGTTGATTGTCATTTTATTCGAGAAAAACTGTTGTCAAAGGGACTTATTGCTGAGTTTACCAGCTCTAATGATCAATTTGCAGACATTCTTACCAAGTCTTTAAAAGGACATAGGATTCGGTTTATATGTTTCAAGCTTGGTGCATACAACTATATGCTCTAACTTGAGGGAGAGTGTTAAATAATTGTTTTTTTATATATGTTGTACAACTTTATAAAAGCTGCTTTTTTGGCCTTATCTATCTTAAGGGTTAAGGTCTTTAGGTTGTAGCCTTGCTTTTGCTAACAACATATATATATATATATATATATATATAGGGGGATTATAAATACACTGGTGTAACTTCTATTGAATATTATACAGCTCAATAACTTTATATTAATTGTGAATTTTGTAAATTCAATCGTTAGATTGAAAATTCATATCACTTTTTTATATATGTATATCAAATTTTCTTAAAATTAAACAACAATTTAAAGGTAATCAAAGTGTTCATATTTTAGTATATTTTGAAATGAATATATTACGTCAATTTTGTTTTATAAGAATGAAGTATCAAATCATCTTTGATTAATATAAAATTTTGTATATATGATCTAGGAGATATGAACTTTCAATCTAACGGTTGGATTTTCAAAATTCACATTTAATATAAAGTTATTAAGCGGTGTAATACTTAGTTAAAGTTACACCGGTGTTATTATAACTCTCCTCATATATATATATAGAGGAGGGATCCTTTTATTCTAGGAGTAAGTCTACCTAGACTTACTCCGTTCAATAACTCATGTTCTACATTAAATTTCAACTGTTCAATTTAATGTTCTTAATGCATAGATCAAATTTGTAAATTTTTAAAAAATTTGAAAATTATTTGATACTTCATTTCATTAATTCAAATTGAAGGATAATCATAAAATCATTTTATACATTGATTCGGATAATCTCTATATATAATATACCAGCTGAGAGCAATCTCTCTGAATTTTTTGCCAAACATCAAATTTCAAGTTGGAGTACAGACCTTTTTCCCAATTATACATCTGCAAATGGAATTCAACAAAGGATCACGTGTCTTCACACACATCACCAAAATGGTTTTGTTGAAAGAAAACATGCCTTAGCTAAAGCATCTCTTCCTCTCAAATTTTGGGATCATGCCTTTGCTACAAGTGTCTACCTTATTAACAGACTTCCCACATCATCCTTACGGTTTGAAATACCTTATCATAAACTCTTTGGTCAGCTCCATGATTACAAACAGCTTAAAGTTTCCTTATTAGAGATGTTGTTTTTAGTGAGTAGAAATTTCCTTATGAAAACCAAAAGATACATGCGTCCCATCACGAATAAACACCATATTACCCTTACCCAAAGCTCAAATCAATAACCCTCCCTCTATCTACATCATCCACCTCCTTTAATAATACCACCTCTGAATCCCTGCCAGATACACATACCTCATAACACAGATCAATACACCAATACCGACAACATCTCCTCACTTAATATCTCTGCCATCCCTCATGACACTCACCCTATGCAGACAAGATGAAAATCTGGAATATCATGTCTTAGATTTCAACCACCTCTTCTCTTAACCCGCATAGAACCAACATCAACCAAACCAGCCATTCCTGTATGGCTTGATGCAATGAAAGTTAAATATGAAGTCTTGTTAAGAAAAAATACATGGACCTTAGTTCCACCTCCATCTAACAGAATTATTATTTGGTGCAAATGGATTTTCAGGGTTAAGTAAAATTCTGATGGATCTATGATGAAACTTTTTGCCGTCATCCAACCTGTTACTGTTTGCATTATCTTAACTTTAGCTGTGTCAATTGGGTGATCAAATAGTTTGACATTAGTAATGCCTTCCTAAATGGGTTTCTCGAAGAACTGGTCTGTATAACTCAACCTCCAGGGTTTAAAACTAGTGACAAGAAGCTGGTTTGCAAACTCAACAAAGCTATTCATGGCTTAAAATAGGCACCAAGGGCCTGTTTTTATAGACTTAGGCATACTCTTATTCAATTTGGGTTTAAAGGCAGAAGATGTGACCCTGTGAAAACTATCTAGATAATTTTTAAGAAGGTAATGAAATTATGCTTGTTTCTAGAACAAAACTATCTAGAATGACGTGCTTTTTAAAAATTTGGTTCCATTTTTTTATGCTAATATTTATTAATGTCACTCAGATTAAAAAATCATCAATTGAAGTATGATGTTTACGATTTCAAACAAAAGCAAATAAACGTTCAAAAGTTGCTTTAATTTAGGCTGTTGAGCAGTCTTGTATCGTCTTAACTGGTGGCTTTTTTAGATATTGTACTCGCAATAGAAATAGTAATTATTTCAAGTTTTAAAATCTGAATTTTCCTTGAATTATTTTGCAGCCACCAGACCAACACCAGCGGCTTTCATTGTGCTTTGCCAAACTTATGACAGATGTGACACTCAGCTTGGATGGAAAGAACAGGGACAAATTCTCTCAGAACCTGACCAGATTTAAGTCTGAGTTTTGTGCCAAATAATTTTGGCCACCATATTGTATTTGCTGCTTATATATTTAGGGTCCTGTACATCTTTTACCATGACTCATTTTTGTTTTTATGGGAGGGGATGCCATTTTTTCTTTTTTCCAGTGGTGGGGGATTTGTTTGATGAAAGGCCTGCTGGCATATTGGCACTCCTTTTATTAAAAAGCAGGGAGAGAATATAGCAATTCCTAGTTGAACAGGCTATTTTGATATAAGCGAGGCTTAAATGCCCTGGATGAAACCATTTAAAGTAGCTGAAAAATTGCTAAATTGAATGGGAATTTGTAAATTGTTTGTATAATTCATTTAACATGCTAGAGCTTTAAATATATGATAATTTGTTAATACTTCATTTTTTTTGCAGTGTTCTGAATTGCATAATTACTGGTGTTTGATTCCAATTTAAAAATATGTATTACTCCTCAGATTTTTATTTTATTATTTGACATATTTACACATCGTATTATTTGAGTCATTTGTTCTTAGTAACTTACATCAAGGGTCCAATCAAAAGAAAATATTTTGCTTCTTTAATAATTTTTATAATGGAACTTCTAACACTATAGGCCAAAAGTGAGTTCAATTCATTTTGATTTTTATGTCCAAGATGATAATGAATTTTACAATTTTGAAAACGTTTAACATGATCTTGCATTATCAAATCAAATTTTGCAATCATTTCAATTAATCTCAAAAAATTATCATCGGTATCTTGATATATTTTTTCCTTGGATTCTCGAAAAACCAAATTATGTTGAGCAAGACATTTCACAACAAAAAAAAATTCTAAGTAAAACTTGTCTCCAACAATTATTCTCTTTGTTAACCTCTTGTTGTAAATTTTTATCAATTGTTTGATTTTTATCCAATCTTGCTCTTATTTTATTCCAAGTATTTATATTAGTCATATGCTCAAAATTATTCTCATGTTATTTAAGTCTCTCAATACACTTTCAATCTCTAAAGCCCTTATTTGTTAATGAACTTTTTTTATTATCAGATTTGAACAACTTAAGAACAAAAATAAACGTCAACATGTTTAGAATAAACTAACCATTTCCTATCACTAGTTTTCCTATCACTAGTTTCAGTATTATTCAACTTTCTAGAATAACAAGCATATGAAAAATGTCTAGAAGTGTTAGGAAAAAAGATTCATTTCTTTTATAGTTCATTTTTCAACTAAAATGTTCCTTACTTTGTTATCAAGATTATCCCAATTTTTAGGATCATAAATATCTAAAAGAGAAATTAATTGTTCTTCGTCAATTTCAATATTTTCAATATTAGATTCATTTGGTACATCATTAGGTTCACTTAAGTCGTTAACTTCATCATTTTCACTTTCATTGTTTTTATTATGCAAAATATTTGATGGATCAAGATTTTCATAAGAACTTACCTCTATAAAAATAAATTTATCAAGAGCTCCTTGTTGTGATTTTATTAAATCTTCCTCTCATTTTTTCCTTTTTCTTTTTCCACTTCCAAATAGATATTTTTTAGGTAGCATACTATAAACGATAAATTAAATAGTAAAATTACCAAAAAATGAGTAATAAAATGTGGAAGTAGAAGTCAAAGTTGAATACTCGTTCATGCGTTTACTAATTCTAATAGCTAAATTAAAACACTATAAACATATAAATAAAAAAATGTAAAATTATGCTAAAATATAAAGTAATCTAATATTAACATTTAATAAATAATTGTATGCTAAAAAGTAAAACAATCTAAATAATAAAATCATTAAATCAAGATAGAGCAAGTATCAATTTCCTTAGCTCATCTGTAATATCCATATAACTATATTTTTATTTTTAAATTTAGCATTAAATTATATGTGTAAATTTAATATTTTAAAAAGTAATAAAATATAAAAAATTGTACTAATTTAAAATTTTTCATATTTTACCGTGATGGAAAAATTAAGAGAAAATTGGATTGTTGTTGGCTTCTCTTCAAGTTTTTCCATAGATCTTCAGCTTCTTGATTCTCCTTAAGTTTTGTTGAAGCTTCCAGCGGAGATAGAAGCTCCAAGGTTCATCTTAGAAGGTGAAGAACACTCTCAAGTGGTGCCACTCCTTGGTGGAAGATTAGTCACTTCAAAACACACCACACTCTTGTATGAAGAAGATAAAAGAATTGGATTGAAATCAAAGAGGTTTGAGACTTTTGGAAGAGAGAAAACTCAGAGAAAATTTCAAAATTCTCTTTTACAAAGTGAAGGAAAAGACTTATATAGTGAAGAAGTGGCTTGTGGTGCAAGTTAGGCTAACTATGGTTAGCCTTCTTAAACTCAAGCTAACCGGTCTAATAACTTGGAAGCTTGTGGAACAAGCTTTAGCTTTGAAGCTTGGTGAACAAGCTAAGCTAGAAGCTTGTAGCACAAGCTATCCAAGTGTGTGAGAAAAGCTAGACACAACTCGACCAAAGGAGACATGGGCGGCCACCTTGTTTTCCTCCACTTAAGTCAATCCAAAATTGTTGGATTTGGCTTAGTTAGGTTCACCTAATGAAGGTGAGACCTAGCTAAGTCAAGTCCTTAGATTAAATGGAGTAAAACAAGCCTAATATGTAAAAATTGGCCTAGACTCACTACAGGCCCAATTGCTAGTTTCACCTACACTCGTTAATATTTGTCACTCCACTTCTGCTACTAAAAATATGAAAAATAATATCATTTAATACAAGGTCAAATGGAGTAAAAATCTCCAAATAAGATACCCTAAAATCCTAAAAGGATGATCTATAAGAAAAGGAAAAGGTGCCTCAAAATATAAAGACAAAATACACTATACAAGTATCTACTATATACAAGATACAAGAATATTAAACTATACAATGTATATATAATAGAGACTATGAGACTAAAAAAAGGAATCATACTCAATGCTCATATTAAGAAACACCTTCTCTGTAGAAGCCTCCTAACTATAGACCTAGTTAAAGGCCCAATGTTCTTCAAGTGTGAGTTTTCCTATGGATCAACTTTCACCATTCTTGATTTTACCTCTTCTAAAGGAATCTTTAGAGATTAAATTTCCATCATATCGTGTGAACCTTCTCTATATTACTAACAATATAGAGCGTATAACTCCAAATTTGATTATCATTAGTTAGCACTTATTTATACTTTGAGTAAAATATAAAATAAGACTCAATTATTAATTTAAATTATTTATTAATAATTTTTTTAGTATAAATCATTGTTTATAATAATATTTATTATAATAGTGATGATAATAATAATAATTATTATTATTAATATAAATTATTATTTATAATAATAATTAGTGTTACAATAATAATTATTAATAATATATTATTATAAAATTCCTATTTCTAATAATAATAATAATAATAATAATAATAAATGACCCTATGTAATCACGAATAAAAAAGGAAAAATAAAAAGTGGGTTGCATTATTAAATTTTTAATTATATAAATAATTTTAAAAATAAAATAAATAAAAATATATACAAGTAAAGATTTAAGTGATAAATATCAGAGTGCATGTGCCTTCTTTGCAAGACTAGTTGAGATGTTGTGTGGTGTGCCAAACTACCAATTAGTAGACTATAATAAAATCTACAATAAATATATAGATAAGCAAGGATGTAGTAGAGTTATACCAAGATTTTAGTGTAACAAGAAAATGCAGTACGAAGGTTTTAGTGATAATATGTAATCTTGACTTTTTCAGTTTCTATCTTTTAATATTAAAAAAAATAAATTAACCACTGGAATAGATTTAGAAAACTGCAAAATTTCTTAATTTTTTTTATCTATTATAAACTTGGTAATTATAGTTAGTAATTAAAGATTCAATTGATAAAAGAAGATAAAAAGTTACAAGTAAAATATAATAATGAATTAAGTAGTTTCAATAATATAAAAAAGAATAAGGCTAAAATCCTATTTTGGTCCCTTATATTAATTGTTTGTTTCAATTTAGTCCCACTTTTATTTTTGGTTTCAATTTTGTCCCAAACTAATTAATTGGTTTCAATTTAGTCCTAAATTAATTAATTAGTTTCAATGTGGGACTTTCGTCCAAATTATTTAAACGGAGTTAATTTTTAGCCATGTGGAGGCCACGTAGATGCATACGTGTAGGGGTGGGTATGCGGACCGGTCCGGCCCGTTTAAGGCCCGGTCCGCGAAGTCCGCATTTTTAACGGGCCGGATAGATCCGGTCCGCGAAATAAATGGACTTAAATCTTCAAGTCCGTATCCGGCCCGTGAAGCCCACGGATAAACGGATAAGTCCGCGGGCCCAATTAAATCTAAATTGTTTAAATGAATATTGACTCAGATTTTAAATTTCTTTTCCTTTATTTAACCTATGAAAACATGAGAAAAAAAAATATATAAAATGATATAAATATACTTTTAATAATAACATCAAACATTGTAAATAATAAATCAAAGTCTTAAATAACAAAATTTACACATTCTAAATTTCTAATAGAAATATTTAAGTCTCAATGCCTTTAAAATTTAAAGTCCAAGCATACCAACTATTAACCAAATATTAAAGCCTTACTACCTTAAAACTTTAAAAGTCTTAATACACAACCAAACAAATATAAAACATTTGTAAGTCCAAGTACATCAAAGTCTAAATACCTTAAAACATCAAAGTCTTAATTAATATCTTAAAAACAAACATAAAATATTTGTAAGTCCAATTACATCTATCAAATATAATCAAACATCTTCAATAATAAAATTTGAGTCCACATTTAAACGGGTAATCCGCGGGCTCGCGGATTAAATCCGCAAAATCCGCGGACTAAACGGGCCGGACCTAAAAAATCCGTATGATTGTACGGATTAAAAAAAATGAGTCCGTTATCCGTGAAGTCCGCGGACTTACGGACCGGTCCGCGGACTCAAGTCCATATACCCACCCCTACATACGTGGATGCCACGTGAATGACAATTTTTTTGAAAATACCTGGACCCAGAATGGCCCGTTCTGAAACCAGAACGGACCGTTCTAGTTGCACTTTTGGTGTGTTAATTTTGCAAGTGAAACGGGTCATTCCAGTTGCAAAAATTAACACACCACCAGTGCAGCAGAACGGGCCGTTCTGAAACTAGAACTGGCCGTTCTGAAACTAGAACTGGCCGTTCTGGTTTCAGAACGGACGTTCTGGATTCAGAACGGGTTCCCCTGCCTCTTCATCCTCTCCTGTGCTCTAACCAAATGTGCTTTCAATTATCTAAAAGCTTCATCACGGTCTTGTAATTCTCTTAGGACAGCTTCTACTCTTACTTCTCGTTGCACACTTTTTATTATCATGGGTGGTGGACGTCCATATACTGCCTCAAACGGAGTGGTTCCTGTGGTTACGTGAAACGTCGTATTGTACCAATACTCTGCCCAAGGCAACCGTTGACTCCATCCTTTACCAATTCAGGTTGCATTAACTCTGCACGATCATCTTCTAATCCCATTGGGAGCTCACTCTCAGCCTTATAATTCCCAATAGCCTTCTTCAATAAGGACACATGAAATACCATATATATTTTAGATTCTGGAGGTAATTTCAGATGGTAAGCCACTTCCCCAATCCTTTCAACTACTTCAAAAGGTCCATAATATCTAGCACTCAACTTAGGACTTATTCTTGCAACCACAGAGTGTTGTCTGTGCTGCTTCAGCTTGAGAAAAACCATGTCACCTTGTTCAGAACTCCTCTCTATTCGGTGTTTATTCGCCTGCCTCTTCATCCTCTCCTGTGCTCTAACCAAATGTGCTTTCAATTATCTAAAAGCTTCATCACGGTCTTGTAATTCTCTTAGGACAGCTTCTACTCTTACTTCTCGTTGCACACTTTTTATTATCATGGGTGGTGGACGTCCATATACTGCCTCAAACGGAGTGGTTCCTGTGGTTACGTGAAACGTCGTATTGTACCAATACTCTGCCCAAGGCAACCGTTGACTCCATCCTTTGGGCTGGTCAGTGATATAACACCGTAAGTAGATTTCTAAACAACGATTGACGACTTCAATTTGTCCATCTGACTGGGGATGGTACGTCGTACTCATCCTTAGAGTGGTACCTTGCATCCTAAAAAATTCTTTCCAAAATAAACTCATAAACAAGGGATCCCTATCACTTACCACCAAATTGGGAATTCTGTGCAACCTGACAACTTCCTTCACAAACACTTCCACAATTGTCCTAGCTGTGTAGGGATGCTTGAGGGGAATAAAGTGACTATACTTAGACAACCTGTATAGCTTCATACCCCTTGGATCGGGGTAATCCTGTGATAAAGTCAAGGGTAACATCTTCCCAAATATGATTCGGCACTGGTAATGGCTGCAGCAAACCTCCAGGAGTAGTAGTCAAGTATTTCTGCCTCTGACACACATCACATCCTTGCACAAATTTACAGATGTCTTCTTTCATCCCTTGCCAATATAAATTTGCTGTCATCCTTCTATAGGTCCTATAGAAACCCGAGTGTCCCCCTATTGGAGTTTCATGAAATTCCTTTAACAATTTAGGAATCCACACAGATCTTCTCGAAATCACCACCCTGCCTTTGAATAATAATACCCCATGGTCATATGTAAAATCAGGGTATGTCTTCCTCCTGTGCTTCAAATCATCAATAACTTTTTTCCATTATTGGGAAAAACCCAAGTCCCGCCAATCCTAGATCATTAAAAAGCTGCCTCAAACGGAGTGGTTCCTGTGGTTACGTGAAACGTCGTATTGTACCAATACTCTGCCCAAGGCAACCGTTGACTCCATCCTTTGGGCTGGTCAGTGATATAACACCGTAAGTAGATTTCTAAACCTAAATTGAAATAAACAATTAATATAAGGGACCAAAATAGGATTTTTACAAAAAAATAATTATTTTATTTAAAAATTAGTGACGAATATATTGTTAGGTCTTTATTAAAAGCGGGACTTGGACAATTGTCTTGGTTTAAAAGTCTCGAGGTCAGATTTAAATTGAACACAAAGCGCTTAAACTCTTAGATATTTTGTATTCAATTTAAATTAAGTACAAAATGTTAAGGAATAGACATTTTGTCTTTAATTTAATTTTGAACACAAAATGCTTATCCTTCCCCAAACGTTTTGTGTTTAAAGTCAAATTAAACTAAATATTTTATTTAAGAATAAATATTTTGTGTTTAATTTGACTTTTAACACAAAATAATACTCTAGACATTATGTGCTCAAACAACTCTCACCTTTGGAAAAAAAAATTCTCAGAAGTATACATTTTTTTATTCATTTTTTTTTTGTTTACAATGCTATTTACATGACAGAAATAATTTATTTTGATAATTTTATTTTAATATATTTTTTATTATTATTACTATTATTTTTTTTTTTCACTAAAAAGCCACTTCTGATAAAATACCAACAAACTTATAATATCCGTCAATAACAATTTATGACGCACATGGGTATAACGTTTTTATTAGATGTTACAAAAAACAGTTCTAGCAATATTTAGGACACAAGTTATATTTTTAGCTGCCACAATTTTTTTTTCATTTATTTATTTATTTATTTTTATGCATAGAGATTATTTTAAATGTTAAGAGACTCTTATTGAGTCTGGTCCCACTAAAGATTGTTGGGAGAAAAAATCTTACTAAAAATGATCGGGACAGATAGTACGATGTATATACATATAAATAAATTGTTGGTCTAGACTAAAAAAATACTCTACTTTTTATATGTATTTTAATAAAGCGTATGAATACTTCGTATAAATAACATGAAAATATAATGTTAAAGGATCTACAATACTTCTGAAACCTTTTACAATCAATTCCTATATATTAAAAAAGAACTGTGATTTTTCGTGAATACTTTTAAAACCTTTCTTTTATAAAAGATTTTATAAGAATTTTTTAACTCTTTATCTAATATATTTATTTTTATTTATCACAGTTATTTATAAATTAAATATTAATATTTAAAATAAATTATTAATAAATAAAAATA